GATGTTTGATTAGTCACATATTATAATGTAATGTGTTTTAATTAAGTTAGTTAATCATTTAAAACACTACAAATGACGTCATTAGGTCTTTGTTAATTGGGTGGACTTTGTCTTTGCCCTTTACACTGTAAGATTCAATTGGTTAAATTAAGGTGGTAAAATATCTATATATGAAGATAAGGATTAGTGACGTTAATCTTTATATACTCAAGTGTCTTTTTATTTTATTATTGAACTTTTTTTAATTATTTGTACTGACGTTTGCTTGATTTGGGTTTGGTTAAATGTTGGAACTTCCCCAAACATGATTTTTTCTTTTTATATATATATATATATATTCATCTAAAAATGCCGAAATTATATAAGAATAATTATTTTCTCTAAATAATTATTGTTAAATTAATAAAAAGTATTTAAAATCTATTTTTTTTTTATTTTTATAGAAAACGAGAAGACTGATATAAAACTATATCTAATTATTCTCTTCTAATTATTCTCTGGCATAAGTCTTTATTGTTAAATACTAATAGCTTTTTATTAATCATTTAACATATCTATCTATCAATATCTATATAATCTATATAAATATATAATTTCCACGGCTTAAATGCTTATGCGACAACATATTAAAATATTAAACGGATGACGTGTTATTTTATTTTTTCATTATAATTACTATTTTTTACATTTAATAAAAATTAAATTTTTATGAAATAATGAGGTTACAAACTAATAAATTTAATAGATGCTTTCATTATAATTAATATTTTACATTGAATAAATATTGAGTTTTTTATAAAATAGTTTTTATCTGTAAACAAAACTAATGGAGTTATAATAGAATCATAATTAAAAAAATGAATTAAATAATGTAGTTACATTCATGAATATAATTAAAATATTAATTTCAATTCACTAAAATTTTATTTCATTAAAATTAAATATTCTTATACCTCTTCTAATTTGAATATATGAGAATTTTAAAGAGAATAAATAATTAATTAACTATATCAGTTGAATTAAAATAACTTACCTACAATGACTAATTGTGCTAATTAATATTTCAAGTCATTGCTTGAGAATTTTTAAAAAATCTTATAATTATAATTATAATTTTTTACTTGAAAATAAATAAGTAAATTGTTTAAATTAAAGCAACATAAATATAAGTTACAATAATTTTCTTGAAAATTATATTAAACTTAATTTAAAAAAATATAAAATTATACAGTTCGCGCATCATGCACGCAGGTACATGGCTATTTCAATATGTTAATACTTCTTTCCAACCTTTTTTTTAAATTATTTTTTTGATTATTAGTTGACATTTTTGTCATATTTTTAAGGCAAAAATCATTATAACATTAAAAATATAAATGAAAACTTATTTTAATTTATTTATTCCTTATCTACAAACTTAAATACTTGTTTATTTATTATAAATACATTTGCTAATTAATTACTAGTTATTCTTCCAAGAGGAATGTTAGTTGCAGTCGCTTTTTTAAAACTATCTAACAATTATTTTTTATTGATTGAAATTAATTGATTATTTTCAAATTAATCTATTACCTATCAAAACATGTAACCTAAAAACAATATCACTTTTTTTAATTCTATTTAAATTAATCGGTTACATATTTTAACAGGAAATAAATTATTTTAAAATAATCAACTTATGTCAACCAATAAAAAAGAGATCATTAAAGTTAGCAAAACGGTGGTTTAAATCTTTTGTGTTCATCAAAAGCAATTAATTCATAGATGTTAGGCCATGTACAGAAGATTCAAAGAATTTATCTGACTAACCACTTTGAAGATTTATTAATTCTAATATTTATGAACTTCTTATTAGATCAACGAATAATAATTGTTTTAGTTATTCAGGTAGAGCTCGATCTCATATCATACGACACTTGATCCAGCCCTCATAGGAACATACCATTTTTGGGTCCATGTTGATTTACGTCAGCCCAGTTAAGTTTTCAACGAACATAACACTGTTCCATGAACAGTGTTTTTGGTTTTGCTTTTGGTATATAATGATAGTATAACTATTTTTAAAACACATGTTACTCTTTCAGTGGCGCAATACCGATTTATCCTGCACTCAGAAGCAACAGAACATAACCTCCGCTCATAACAGTAACCCCTAATCTCCTAAACCTTAGTCTCTCAACTCTAATCGAATGAACTCGAATTCCTGATTTCTCAATCTCAATCCGTCAGAGACGATTTCAAGGTCCCTTTACAATTCAAAACGCAACGCACCCCGGTTCTCAGCCGCCAATTGGTTTGTTGCATCTCCTTCCTTTTGTTCTTCCTGATCTGCGTCTGGGCTGAGTTATTTTCGTTTTTTTTTTTTTCTTTTTACTTTCTTTTGCATTGAAAATTTCATGAGGTCGATTAAGTGTCTGCAAATATGTCTTTGGAAATCAAATTTTTGAAATTTTTGTCGATTGATTATGTTTGTCATGTGATAACTAACTGAGCAACCGTTGCATCAGTTAACACCATTAGCTCCAAGCACTTTGTTTTAAGACCTGTAAAAATTGGGATTGAAGAGGAAAGATTTTAAATCCTTTTCTGGGATTTTAACCATAGCTGGAAAATGAAGGTCTAAGTTTAATTTTAGGGTAGAAGAAGGGTGATGGCAACAGTATATAATCCTGCCAGATGCTAACCTTTTCTGTATTCATTTTATTGTACATGCATTTTGATAAACTATTTATTTCTTTTCTCTTCAGTAGCCATGAAGGTGCGATCATCTGTGAAGAAGATGTGTGAATTCTGCCAGATTGTTAAACGCCGTGGACGTGTTTACGTAATGTGTTCTTCCAATCCTAAGCACAAGCAACGACAAGGCTTCTTTACATTTGCATATGAAGGAACCACGTATGTTATCCGTTGCTTTCTCCCGAAAACAGACATGCACACATATTTATTTGCATTGCACATATTGTTTGTTTTCATCACTGATTTCTTTCTATTTATATCCTGGATTAAAATGCATCTTAAGCATTATATATTATTATAGAAGTTTAAGTATTTCAGAGATTTTCTCTAAAGAAAAAATACACACACACACACACACACACACACACACACATATATATGTAACAAGATACTTGTTACACAATGATTACAGTATACTTGTCAAAATTGAAGTGGGGAAGTTTCTTTTTCTTTTCTTTCTCTCTAGGTGATTAGTAGATATTGATATTTTTTTTTTCCCTTTGATTCTTTGCTAAGAATCTTTCTTCACTGTCTGAAGAAACGGTTGGCTGTTACAAAGGAATGAATAGGAAATTAAACATATTTGTTAGGTTATAATATGGGTTAAGAGTTCCAAGACAATTTTCCAGTTTTTAAACTGAGTTGTAGGTCTGGAGATGTTCCCAGTAATGTTCAAGGATATAGTTATATGCACTATTAAGATAGATTAAAGGGATAAGCATATATAATTTCCTGAAGAATTGGAAAATCTTCAACAGGAATCCCTGTATATTTAAAAGAAAAAAAGAATTCCTTTAACATTGCTAAGTTCGAACCTTGGCCAACCTAACATTTGGAATGCTCTTTCAACCATCTTGCCTCCTCCCTTCCTCTTTCTAGATGTTCAATAAATTCTTTTCTAGCCATAATAACTGGATATAATTTTATCACAGATGCCAGTTTGTGTGGAAGATTTATGAATCAAGAAGCTTAACACACACTGCAATTTGTGTGCTTTTAGTACTTTACTCTGACCATTATTTTACTCTCTTATTTTACTATCTTCCTTTCTGAACTCTAGATCATCCCATCACTTGACTCAGGTTAAGAATACCATTATGATTGTTTTAAATGACGTCTTGGATTTGAAACCTTAATAAATTATCAATCAAAACTAAAGAGATTGTGATGTTTGTTTTAATGTTTTTGGTCCTTCACAATCTCTAGTTGTCATAGGATTCATGGGCTTGATGTTGAAAAGATGCATGATGCATGGTTATCACTAGTTAAACAAATTAGGGTGGAAACTGATTTTTGTAGAAGGCAATATAACCATGTAGCCTTTTAATCAAACTATTGCTGATGAAAGTTTTGATTCTATTGGCATCTTTCCCAGGTCGACAGAGATTAGCGCCAATCAGGGAATTACATCCAATCACGATATGGGGATTGGTCTGGCTTCTATCATACCCAAAAATATCGTACCCAAAAAGCATGAACCATCGATGATTTATGGATGGAGTGGAAACCTTGCATCTCTGCTTTTTAAACAAGGGAAGTAACAAAGGAACATTACTGCTGAGGTTGATTATCAACTGATAGTGTTTCTGTAATGCCAAATTGGGTCTTGTTTCAATTTGTTACTGCCTTTATTTTCTTATTGTTGAACTTTTCATCGGAATTTCTGGTTTTGCTGTGCGCTGCTGCTAAATACTCATTAATGATTTAAGTGTGTGCATTCTGGCCGGCCCGAAAAACTGAAGTCCAGAAATTTACTAACAATTCAAACCGTTTCAGTGGAAAAACCAAGCCCTGCTGAACTGCAAGTTTCGATTTGGTCAACTATGAATTTATCAAAATGACCCCATTAATTGGTTAACTGAAGAGGACAGGACAATTTATGAAAAATCCTATTCAAATTTCAAGTTGTCGTTAAATATGAAGCTCATTGAAACAAAACAATCTGAAAATGATTCAACTCCAGTTTTGTTTCAACACACCAAAAGTACCCCAATCCAGAAGAACACCAAAGAACTTTCACAATTCACAAATATTCCAGCATAGACAGTGGCAAAAGGTTAAAGAAGAATTACAAAGTACATGAACGGAAAAAAAGATTAGCCAGACGCAAAAAATAAAAATATTCAAGTTCATAAAATTTATCAGAAAGAAAACACAAAAAAAAGGAAGAATACAAAAGCAATACTTGAACAAGATGCCAAGATCCGCCGAGGAAAGTGGCGTAGAGAGAATGAGAGCAAATTTTGCGGTTTGGCTTGATTAAACGAAATCAAGCCAAATCGGAAACATCCGATTCGGCTCCATTTTCTGATTTATTTCAAAGTTTGCTTACTCGTATTGATGCACATTCTTTTCTTTCTTGTGACCATCTTATGGTGTATGCATATGAGAAAGCATGGGATGTTGTAAAGCTGTCAACGTTGTGATATGTTGACTGAGAAGCCGATCATATGGAATAATGTGAAATTTGAATCTGATTCCTTGAGCTAATATTAATTCATAGTCTCTCCTATTTTCTTATTTTTAGTCTAAAAGACAAGTGAATTGTCCACGTGGATCAACCGAATTGTAAATTTACCCCTAAACATTTATTCTAAACCCCTAAACCCTAAACATTAACCCTAATCTCCTAAACACCACTCTCTAAACTCTAATCTAATGAACTCGACTTCCCTGATTTCTCAATCTCAATCCCTCAGAGCCGATTTCAAAGTGCCTTTACAATTCAATACACGGCGCCACTGCGGTTCTCAGCCGTCAATTGGTTTGTTTCCTCTCTTTCCTTTTGTTTTTTCTGATCTGTGTCTGGGCGAGTTTTTTTTGTTCAGTTTTTTTTTTTCTTTTAACTTTGTGTTGCATTGAAAATTTCATGGGATCGATTAGGTGTCTGCAAATATGTCTTTGGAATTCAAATTTTTAACATTTTTGTTGATTGATTATGTTTGTCATGTGATAGCTAACTCAATGGCCAGAACTAGTTAGCCATTTCAATGCATTAGTTAACACCATTAGCTGCAAGTAATTTGTTTCATTAACTGTTGAAATTGGGATTGAAGAGGAAAGATTTTGAATCCTTTTCTGGGATTTTAACCATAGCTGTTCTATTTAATTTTTTGAGTAGAAAAGAGGTGATGGCAACAGGATATAATCCTGCCTGATGCTAAACTTTTTCTATATTCTTTTTTTTTCCCCTGACAATCTTGAATATTGTGCATGCATTTTGATAAACTATTATTTCTTTTTTCTTCAGTAGCTATGAAGGTGCAATCATCTGTGAAGAAGATGTGTGAATTCTGCCAGATTGTTAAACGCCGTGGACGTATATATGTAATCTGTTCTTCCAATGCTAAGCACAAGCAACGACAAGGCTTCTATACATTTGCATGTGAAGGAACCGGGTATGTTGTCTGATCCTCTCTCTCTCACGAACACAGACATTCACACATACGCATTTGCATTGCACATATTGTTCGTTTTCATCACTGATTGCTTTCTATTTATGTTATGTAGTAAAATATATCTTAAGGATTAGATATTTAGAAGTTGACGTACTGCAGAGATTTTCTCCAAAGAAAACAAATATATATGTGCATAGTGTTTTCATTTACTATACGATTACAAAATACTTGTCAAAGTTAAAGGTAATTTTTTTTTCTGTAGGTGATTCGTAGATATTTTGGTCTTCTTTCTCTTTGATTCTTTGCTAAGAATCTTCAATGTCTTAAGAAAAGTTGGTTGTTACAAAGGAATGCATAGGAAATTAAATATATTTGTATGACTATGGTATTGGTTCAGAGTTCCAAGACAATTTTCAAGTTTTTCAATTGATTTGTAGGTCTGGATATGTTCTCAGAAATGGGTCGAGGATCTAGTTATGTATGCTAGTATTAAGATGGAACAACTGGATATGCATATATAATTTTCTTAAGCATTGGAAAATCTTTAAGAGCAATCCCTTTATATGTAAAATAAGAAGGGCCTCATACGGGCGAAGCTACATGTAAAGGAAGAGGGAATTGCCCCTCAGCCCACTCTTTTGTAAAAAAAATCCCTTAACATTGCTAAGGTTTGAACCTTGACCAGCCTGAAATTTTAGTGCCCTTTCATCTATCGCCTCCCCAAAAAGAGGATCCTAGCTTCACCCCTGCTCTGACTTGCTCCGGTTCTTGTGGGCTGTATCACATACTCAACCAGAAAAAAAAGGCAGCAGGGTTGGGTGATTATGATTCTGTCAAACCACCATGAAGGTGAAGCAGCGCATTTTCCTAGGTAGCAGAAAGGAAAACAAATTTCAAACAATTGGCTTTGCATTTATTTGGGAAGGCTTTTAGGCTTCTTCTAGGAGTTCATTGCAATGACGTTCAATAAATTATTCTCTAGCCATAACAATTGGATAAAACAGACGCCAATTCGTGTGGAAGATTTATGAATCAATGAGCTAAGATTTATGGATCAAGAAGCTCAACACCGTCTCCAGTTTGTATGTCTTTAATACTTTACTCGGACCATTACTTTACTCTCTTCCTTTCTGAACTTTGAATCATCCCATTACTCGTCTTGGATTTGGAACCTTAATAAATTATCAATCAAAGTTAAAGAGATTGTGATATTTGTTTTGACGTTTTAAATAAGATTCAAGGACTTGATGTCGAAAAGATGCATCATGCATGGTTGTCACCAGTTAAACAAATTAAGGTGGATACTGATTTTTGTCTAGAAGGCAATATAACCATACCCTTTTGATCAAACTATTGCTGATGAAATTTTTTATTCTGTTGGCGTCTTTCCCAGGTCCACAGAGACTAGCGCCGACGAGGGAATTGCATCCAATCACGGCGTGGGGATTGGTCTGGCTTCTATCATACCCAAAAATATTATACCCCAAAAGCATGAACCATCGATGATTTGTGGGTGGAATGGAAACCTTGCATCTCTACTTTTTAAACAAGGGAACTAGCGAAGGAACATAACTGCTAATGTTGATTATGAACTGATAGTGTTGCTTTAAGGCCAGATTGAGTCTTGTTTGAATTTGTTACTGCATTTATCGCTTGTTATTGAACTTTTCATAGGAATTTTTGAGTTTGCTATGCACTGCTGAATACTCATTAATGAACTTGCTTTCTTTGTTGTGACCATCTGATGGTGTAAAATGGTGTATATATATGAGAAACATAGGGTGTCTTGGATTTTGTTGAAACAATGTTAATTACTTGCCTCCTTACGAAAATCTAACCACTTCTAATTTGTGATATATCTTTAATAAGTGACATAAGACGGTGCTCTAGCACCGATTGTGGCATCCACCGTCTGGTTCTCTGGGATTGGCCGGTGGGTGTTACAGTTGTAAAGCTGGTAATGTTATTTGTTGACTGACAAGCAGCTAGGGGGAGCATTTGGTTAACTAAACTGAATCAAACCAAATTAGCTCGGTTTCGATCTATCCGAATATATGTTTATGGTAACCGTATTTGGAACCAAATATCTAGTAGTCAATCAAAATCAAAATAAATCGATTTAGATTTGGTTATTTCAAATCAAATTAGCTATTTTGAGCTTAAAAATAAATTCAGTTAATTATATATAATAATCAAACCAAAAATTGAAATTTGTTTTATGTATTCAGACCGATTGATAATTAAAATTTTAAAAGAGGTATTCAAATCCAAATAAAATGAATTAGTTTGATTTGTTTTTGGTTAGAAATCGAGAATCGCTCACCGACTAACAGCTAATCATATGAAAAGAAAGCAAATAATACATGGGATGATAGAAATTTAGAATCTGATTCTTTGAGCTAAATAGTCATGGTGTCAATTATTTTCTTATTTATTTATTAATTTCGACAGGTTTCTTATTTTTACTCTAAAAAACGATTGATCTGTCAAAGTAAATCATAAGTAAAATGATATTTGATTTGATTTATAAGTTAAAAAATTTACTTAAAAATAAATTAGAAATCTTACTTCTGATTAACTACTTATTTTAAAAATGTTATTTGACAAAGTAAATAATTATTCTAATATTTTTTTTTATTTGTTGGAAATCCGATGGGCCAAGCTAACACTACATGCTATACAACATGGGGTAATCTTTTCTTAACTTATCAAATTGATGAAAACACTTATAGACGAGAGGACGACTTAAGACCTCTTACTTCTCGTATAAGATTACACCGAATTTACATTATTTTAATAACTTTTAAAAATGCCAATATTATCATTTTTAATAAATATTTAGACTTTATATTTAATTAATTTTTTTTATTTGTAATTGTGTTAAACTAAATTATATTTTAAGTACTTAAATTATCAAAAAAATATTTTAAAATAATTTTATCAAACATTTAATTATTTAAAAAATTAGAAAAAAAAAAGAAAAATTTAAAGAGTAGATTGCGAAAGCGGATAAGCTGTTTCCTTAGGTAATTAGATAATGGATGACGAGGACAGTGTTCAACATCATTATCACTAAAATCACCAATAATACATTTACTAATCACTTTACTTTTGACGCTTAGCATTCCTCCATGCTGCCTGAGAGCCAATTATTACTTCACAGAAAGTAAAGCGCGTGAAATATAAGCTTTAAATGCTAAAACACAAATCAAAATTCCATCCACAAATCCAAAACCCATCCTTAATTATTACTCTTCATCATTCCTTAATCACTTACTACTGCTCTACCCATCTCGCCGGAGAATAAAGAAACGAGCTTTCTTACCGTAACCGGTTGTTTTTGTCTCCTCTGCTCCATTTTCCGGTCACGGGAGAAAATTAATCGATGTTAAATGGTGAGCCTTAGCACTTCGATTACTTCTTGGATCCGTCACCTTCTCGCTTGCATTGGGTAATTCTTTCGATTTCGCTTTCTTTGATTTCTGGGAATGCTTTTGATTTGTTTATGGAAGCTTGAAAAAGTGCTTCTTAGAAATTTTGGATTTTCGTGGATTTTTTTTTTTTTCAGTTATACTTCATTTATGTTGAATAACTGTGCAATCCTGTTGACTTAAGTGTAGAAATATTTCTATTTTTGAGGCGTAGTTGAGATTCATAGTGGATAAAGATTTATTCTTGGATTTACTATTTATAGAAGATTTAATCTTCGATTTAAAAGTTCTCTTGTTTTAGAGAATTTAATTTTTTGGCTTATTGAAATAAATTTCTGCATTGAAATAAGATTATATTGAGAGCTTAAGAACTAGTAATAGGAGCTTGAAACAAATGGGATCTGGTGGGATTAAGGGAATCATTTCATAGCTACAAAACAAACTCAAAACACTTAAGTTGCCATAATTTTTTATTTCAAAGGCTGAAACTCAGTTACCAAAATTAATTAAGTTGCTCAACCAGAAATGAGGAGGAATTATTCAAGCTATATATTGTATTAATTGCTTTCTATGAAATTGACTTTTCAAGAGAGAATTGATCAAGGGAACATTCACTTCTTTTAATAACTCAATTTTTTGTTTACATGAGGGGTGTTTATCCCTCCCTTCTGTTAACTCCTTCCTTATTGGGCATTTCAGCTCTCGTTAGATACACACAGAAGAACTATATTTCAGGAAAAAGTTGATTAGGTGCCCATTTTTGTACATCATACATTTATCTTTTTTATTGACTTCAGAGCTAAGTCTCAAAGGCTCAACTTTATGTTATGTGTGTTGCATAAAATGGAAGTTGTGTATGGATTTTTTCTATATAATTGATGCTACGGTTTTCCACAAAAAAATCAATTATGTTTCTGAGCCTCAGCGATTTGATGATTTTGAATTTGTATTTGAATAATGCCGTTATTTCCAACGTAAGATAATCTAGATATTTGATGTACATTAAAACGACATTTTATTACTATTGCCAGTCTTAAATCTTATTCTGCATATGGCTCAACTTCATTTTTGTTACTATCTTTTATTGTATGTATGGTTTAACTTGGTTTGCAACAGAGCAGTGGTTGTTTTGGATGCTGCACTAAACCCGCTCCAATTATTGCTGTGGATGAGCCATCAAAAGGATTAAGAATACAAGGGAGAGCAGTGAAGAAACCTAGCATATCAGATGATTTTTGGAGTACCAGCACATGTGATTTGGAGAACAGTGCCATTCAATCTCAAAGAAGCATTTCATCTATCAGTGTATCAAATGTGAATCTCAAAAATGGCGTTGGTGCCGTGAGCAGCAATTCTGACTTTGTCAACCATGGTAAGTTACCTACTTGTTTCTTATCATTGTGTTGCTTTTGGGTATTTGATGATTTTGTTTGCATGAATCATTCTTGTAACTCAAAATCTAAAGGGCGGTTACCCTTAACGCTGCTGTTCAATGTAATTGTAGCCCTACTAACAATTAAACTATAATCATCATAATATCATCTGATTTTTTTGACATTTTGTTACTTGCAGGACTTCTTCGCTGGCAACAAACAAGGCTACAATGGATTGGCAGTAACACTTCAACAAATCAAACACGACGGAAATTGGAAAGCAGATTAAAGTAATTTCTTTTCTTTTTTTTTTTTCTTTTAAACGGTCAATCAATTCTTGTAGACTTCAGTATTGGTTGGAATCACACGCTCCGATTAGATATCAACGCGAACTGCAAGAAACGCTTTTTCCTTTTAATTCAGACATGTTAACTGAGTTTCTTCGAGAACCTTCAATGGATTACATAATCTTTTTTCCATGTGATGGCTCATGTTGACTCTATATCTTTTCAGTTGGAATGCAACTTATGAAGGTTTACTTGGAAGCAGAAATCCTTTCCCCCGCCCTATTCCTCTGTCGGTAAGTCTGACCCATTCACTTTTTATTTCTTACAGTATTTCATTATAGCAGAGCAGCATAGTTTAACATTTGTTGATTGAATTTAACTGGCAGGAAATGATTGATTTTCTAGCAGACGTATGGGAGCAAGAGGGGTTGTATGATTGAAGGCTTTTCATTCGGTATCCCTCATCTCTTTTAAGTTTGACTCGTAAGAGGCTTCTGCAAATAGAAATGGGGAAAAGAATTGGAAAAAGCAAATGTTTCTGTTCAATTGTAATATGCCATATTAATGTCAATTCACTTTTTTTTTCTTGTGTATTATTATTTCTACTAATTCACATACATGCAATTCGATCCTTCGCTGTCGGGAATAAAAAAATAAAGGAGCAAAATAATAATAAGAAAAAAAGAAAAGCAATAAATTGTGTCTATGTTAATAATAAAAAAGAGCAAGAGGTTAAGTGTTTGATTCCAGTGAATGGAGAAAATTTTCGTTAAAAGTTCTTTTCCTCTATTTTATAATTTGTGTTCTGGTTTGATTTGCACATGAATTAAGAAATTATAGTTAATATGGTTAAATAATAATTTTTGTTTCATTTTTTCTTAATATGCACTTGTGTTAGTATTCATAAAAATTAAATGATTCATATTAAATTGTTCTTGAAATTTATAAAAACATTTGATTAAATAGAATTCTATTGAAAGATTAAAAATTGATATGTTATTTATATTTATATTAGACAATATAGTAATTTGACTATTTTTATTTGCTTAGAAAGAAGCATATGGTAAAATAGCAAATATTATTCGCTTAAAAAAAAAAGGGGGAAATAGGATCAACAAGGTGTTGGTTGAGACGGTAAACGATCTCAGTACAAGTTTAATCCCGAAGGTAAACGATCTCAGCACAAGTTCGATCTCGAAAAGTACACTTTGCTGGGAGCGCAAAAAATATCTACAGCCATAAAAAAAAAAAAGAAGAAATAGAATAATAATTTGGTGCGAATGAAAAATGAAAGTAGAAAACAAGAAAAAAAAAAAAAAAAAGAAACAAGAAAAAAAAAAAAAAAAAGGAGACAAATTGCGAGACAATTTTGGACCGATGAAAGGAATTTTGTAATGGCAGCACGGGAAGGCTGAAAAAAGCCCCACTTAAAAAAAAAAAAAAAAAAAAAAGGAGACAAATTGCGAGACAATTTTGGACGATGAAAAAGGAATTTGTAATGCAGACGGGAAGGCTGAAAAAGCCCAACACTATACGTAAGCCTCAAAAAGAATTTCCAAGCCTGTGATTTTTACCAGTCACTGAAAAAAAAAAAAAATTATTTGTTTACCTAAATCTGGAGCATCCTTCTCACTAAAAACAAAATAGTGGGATCCATCTGTAGAAAACCATTGCTCCTGGCCTATGTAATAACATACACTTGGCTAGTTGGCTTGGTCATAGCACATAAATTTTGTATTCTTCCAAAAAGCTTAGTCTCATGCAATGAATATTCTTGCACACTAAAACAAGAAATGAAAAGTTTCCAAGTGGAACATAAAAACCTTATGAAGATTATTATTTTTTCCACAATATCAATCCTTTGGTTAGTTATAATTTAAATCCTTATCTAATCGAACCCAAACGAAGTAGTTCAGTAGCAAAGAACAGTTTGAGATTGATCACTATGGCTGGTCTTAGAATATGGGTTTAATTCTTCGCAAGGCAAACTCTCCATCTTTTGCCTCCAAATATAAATGTACATCGGTATAGCTTTTCTCAACTTCACAAAATCCATTTGACTTAACCATCTCTTGCCCACTTTTTTTAAGTCCAATTTGTTAACCATTCTTATAGAATTGAAGATATTCCCCCTCATTTGATTATCTATTAGAAAGTAGAAATCTATTTGATTAGTTCTTTATTGATGGATCACCATGTTTGTTTTCTTTAAAATAGAAAATTGTCTAATCTTATAAATAAATAAGCATTTTCACATCAAAATATTTTCTTATAAATTGTTTTTTATTAAATAAAAGGTAAGTAAGAGTATATTTTTCATATCGGCATTAATTTTAAGATTCAATTTTAGATAATTATGAAGTGGCTCCAATCAAATCGAACCCTAATTGATAACGGAAGAGTACATATACTTATCAATTAGACTAACTCTATTTGATAGAATTTAATTTATAATATCACTTATTCACAATCATTTAAATATATATATATATATATATATAATGCTACAATATCACATTAGTACAAAGGAATATTTAACACCACAAATTAAAATTAATAGTTTATAATATTACCAATTGATTGGTTTGGCTAGCCTGAAATCCAAATTGTTTGATCCAAAATTTTCTGAGTTAGGTTCTATTAATGAGTTTATTTTTATAATAATTCACAAACAAAGCAAAATTCAGTCATTTGATGGACAATTTGACAACAAGCGAATACTTTTTTGAAGTTTTCTTCATTGAAAAAAAAAAAAAAACAACATCGAAGAAATTTCAATCTAGCCATTATCTCAAACATGACATTTCCAAGAAAATTGTGTTGTGACTTATCTTCTTATTTTACCAATTCCATATGAAAGATGAGCAAACGGGAAGGTGGCTTCACAGAAAATAGCTAGATACAGGCACTGGCTGCTTTCACATTAACTTTCCAACTTGCAAGACCTACACATCCATGCATCTTCACACTTTTATCCCATCAATATGAACTATAAATTACAATCTATTTCTGTATTATTCTAAATATATTAATTTTACATTTTGTCTGTCTTTTTTTTATTTTATTTGGACCACATACTCAGTGGATGAGACTTTCGTATTTGAATTAGTGTAATATTTACATAAAACTCTCTCAATAATAACGACTTTAGATTTCAATCAGCTAACCTAATATATCATTAAATGACATAAAAATTTCATGACAAAATATTTATATGAATAAATTAGATTCGTTAGATATGTGAAAATATAAATTTTAAGTGCCAAATATATTTTTTTTTTTAAAAAAATAAAGGTTCAGGACTTCTATATAGATTGTCCTTATTAGGTAGCTGGTAGATTCCAATGAGATAATATCAGATCAAATCATTTTTAGTTCAATGCTGAAATATAATAATGTAGCAGTTAAGATTTGATACATTTCATTTTATATCATATACACACACCTGTCTTTCGGAAAACGTATATGTCATATGTTTCTCTTTCATTTCATTTTATATGATAAAAAAATCAAAATTTCTCTATTAATCAGTTCTATTTCAGCTAGTTAGATGTTTATTTCTAGTTCAACATTCATCTGTATTGATATATTACACATCAAAATCGAATCATTTACACGTAATTGAAAGTGTAACAATCAAATTATATACGTATTTTTAAATAATTTTTATTAATTAAAAGTTGTTTTTTATAGAAAAAAATTGTGGACTGCAAGGAATGAGCTTCAGTGTATGAATCTTTATAGGCCTAAAAAATCATAATAATTGAGATATTCATAATCTTTTTTAAATAATTGAGAGTAGAGAGAGGGATTCATTAGATGTATCCATTTGTGTGGATCAGATTTTGCACTTCCATTTGCATTTTGTATTATTGATGATTTGTTTCTATTGCTTTAGTCTTTTTTTTATTATTATTTATTTATGAAAGAGATGCTTTAGTCTTATTTTGATCTGGGTAAATGCAAATTTTTTGAAAAAAAGAACTAAAAGACAATAAAAATTAATAGTGTTAGTTCGATCGAAGCTCCCGTTAGGAGTGAGCATTCGATCAATTCGGTGCCAATTTCAATAATCACACTGAAGTTAAAGAAACTGAATATCTAATTAACTGATCGATTTAATCAAAATTTATGATTAACCGAAATTATTAATCACTACTTAATCAAAATAAAAAATGAAATCTTTTTAAATTTTATTATAGAGAAAAAAAAAGGGAGGTGTCTATCCCATGAAAATTGGCAAATTGCACAAAGTGAAACTTTGTCATACAATGAACATTTCATTATATATGAATCGAGTTAAATACACATGTGAAGACTGAAGAACCCATTCACTATTATATGTTTTGTTTCAGAACATCCATACCTTAACTAACATTACCTTAACAATAAAAACTATTAAAAAAAAATAACTAAATAAATTTAGAGAAGGGAAAAAGAACAATTTTGTCATTGCAGGCTTAAAACAATGAATGAAATGAATGAATATGGTCTTCTTATAATTATAAATACCTTAAATTCAACAAAATCATTTGACCAAACAATTTGATGTGTCCTCATTTCACAATAAATGCTGACATTTCTTTTTATTTCTGCCTGAGATTTAATAAAATAATATATCTGCAGGCGATGCCTGTGCCGACCTCTCTTCATTAAATATTATTTTATTTTATAAGTGTAACTTGCATTGCATGAACCATGCGTGCATGTGTTGTTTAATCCTACGATAGGTGTATAAAGGAGACTTGCTGACGGAGTTTAGGTGCATCGTAAGTGCTGAGTTGATTGTAGGGTCTGAATGAGCAAGTGCATGATTGTTTGTTTCTGAGATTTTAGAAGGACAATGGGCAGCTGGTGGTATGGTATTATACCAGAAAAGAAGAATGAAGAACAGTGGATGTCCCTGACAGCGATTTGCCTTCTTCACAGTTCATATCTCAACTTGCTCAAATTGATTTTATATTTTACTATAATTTAAAACAGCTAATAATTATGAAACATACATGCATATAATTATATCACATGCACACTGCCATGCAGACATAAAACATTTTGCAAATGAAAATTTGTAGAGTGATGGGTTGAATGATTAATTAATACAGAAAATTTTAAAATTTTCTACAACTATATATGCTCATCATTATCCAAATTTAATGAAATTCAAATTTCAGTTTTTTTTTTTTTTTTTTTTTTTTTTAAACAACTATATAATGCTCATCATTATCAATTAATGAAATTCCGAAATTTCAGTTTTTTTTTTTTTTTTTTTTTTTTTGGTAGCAAGAAATTTTCAGAGAGTATGAATAATCAGGCAATACGTTTCTTCTAATTTTTTTTTTTTTTTTTTTTTTTTTTTGGTACAAGAAAAATTTTCAGAGAGTATGAATAATCAGCATACGTTCTTCTAAGATCCTACATGACAAAATAAACACTTGATTGTTAAGAAAATGAAGCTATCCATATTATATTTGAAGGTAAAATTGCAATTTTAACCACCAATTAATTAAGTTAATGCATTGGGAGTAATCAAGTGATTAATACACATAATTATTTATTAATTAAGTTAAATTCCTTAACACTTCTTCCTTGCAATTAATACACATAATTATTTATTAATTATTTCCAGTCATTTTCATTAGTATAGTCAAAAATTGCGGTTGCTTAGGGTGGAAAAACATATTAATTAAATACTCTTTTAGTTGGCTTTCATCAGGATTTGTAAGGGTAAATTAAAGAAAATATTTCCTCTTAATTCTAAATTTCTTTTTAAAATTTGTTTTACAAATTAATTTTCAATTGTAAAGAATATAATCTTGCTCGCGTCATAAAGAGAAAACATTTCTAACAGAAATTTTCTTCATCCATAAAGATCAAACACTGAACTTTTTATTTAAGGAATTTAAATCATTTTAAAAAGTAACCCGATTGATAACTTTAGAAACGGTTTTAGTACCATTAAATTAAAAATTATCGATATTTATTTTAGTTATAAATTCACAACTCTTTTGGAAATTTCTCAAAAGTTGTATATAAAATTCTTGAAAATGAAAAAAAAAAATTAAAAAATCTATAGAAACCTAATAAACCAAAACCCATCTTATGTTTTAGATTTATGTAGAGAGTTAGAAGATTCAGTGACTCTGACCATGAAAATGATAAATAGAAAAACTTTTTCCAAGTTTGATAATTTTAATTTACGTACCAAACCGTATAAATATAAGATTGGACCACACATCATCTTCAACAATAATATTCACATATCAAAAATTCATTGTATATCTCAAAAACAATTATTGTCCAAGAGGAGAGAACCAAAAAAAGCATAACATGCCTGTACCTAAAGACATGGGTCCCTTTCCCTTTACCATTTCCTATTTATTTATTTATTTATTTTTGTATTTTTATTATGTTTTTTGGTCAGCCAACAAATTAAGTTGTGCCGTTTGGGCTTTGTGGTTGAGAAGAGACAAAATGACCAATTGGGTTAATATAGTTGACTTCAAGTCCACAAATTTGTTGGCCAACTTGCTTCTTTTCTATTTTCTAAATTGGCCTACTTATTAACTTAACATGTTTAACAAGTAATTTTCCTTCTATATTTTTTAAAAATTAATTCATGCTCGACCCTAGGTTTACTAGAGCCGAGTTTGAGTTCAAATTTTTTCGAATTGAACGCAAATCTCAAGATGAGTTCGAACCTAAAATTTTCAGTCTTATCGAATTTTAAGTCGAATTAAATTCTATTGAATTGAATTTCAAGTCTGACAGATTTAAATTCGACTCGTTTACATGGATAGTCTCACACATAATATATTAGCAACAATCAAATGGAAAATTTCAATCCTTTTGATAGATTAGATGATTTACGCAGTTTTTGAGTTTTAAAATTTGGCTATAAAAGGGTTGAGTTTTTTTATCGATTTATTAATGAAATTTCTAATTACAAATATAGTAAAGGCCGAGTTAATTGAATTTGGACGAAAATTATATGGAGGAGATAATTGTTATGAAAAAAATATAATTCTTTTGATTTTATCAATTAATACTTTGTTTTTTATTCTTCACTTTTTCATTTCATCATTGTTATCCAACTGATATATACATAAATTCATTTTTGAATTTTCTTACTTTAATTCTGTGGCACGCTTAATTTTAATTTAATTTATTAAATATTTTAATTTATAAAATTATACATATTAAACACTTTAACTTGCAAGATTATTTTATTGAACTACTTTTGCTTGCTAATTAGATCAATTAAGCACCTATTAAATAGTTGCAAAAATGAAAGTTAGTATTCCAAAAGTTATACTAACTATACATCAAATTAATATTTTACATGTAAAAGTTAAGCTAAAAATTATTACTATTAGTATATAAATACGTGTTACTATATTATTAAAATTTGCAAATTCGAGCATATAATAAGTTATTCACAAAGTACAGAGTGTCATGTGATTTAAAATTATAAAGTTTAGAGTTAAATTTATGCATTCAGCCTTATTCAAATTCAGTTGATATAAAATTTAAAACTAATAGGATAAGTCTCACACGTAATATATTAGCACTAAGTGATAAATGCACTAACAATCAAGTAAAAAAAATTCAATCCTTAGATAATTTACGTGGTTGTTACATGATGGTTGAGTTTTTTTTATCAATCTATTAATGGAATTTCCAATTAAATATATTGTATATGGAAGTTCATGCTGTCTGTTTTAAAGATCGAATCAATTGAATTTAGACGATTATTATTTAGAGAAGACAATTGTTATGAAAACATAATACTATAAGATATTAGATATTGATCGATAAGATTTTAAAAAAATAGACAAAAAATGTAAAAAGTACCAAAATTGAAGATTTTCTTTTTTAAATTTGCCCTTTAAAATGGATGGGGCATGGAATATTTCTTAACATTCTAATTAATTATTTCGAGCTAGTGAGTTACCAGTTTGAGTTGTTCAAATCCTCGTACTACTTATTTCATTTTTTAAAAAAATATTTTAGAAAATTTTAAAGAAAATAAAAATAATTTCAGAGATTCTCTTTTTTTAGTCTTAAAATTATTATTAATAATAAAAACCAGAAAAAACTTAACTTATAAGGATTAAATATTTAAATTATTAATTTAGAATTTCCCTTTTTTTTAGTGGAAATTTAGAATTCTCTTAAAAAAAAAAAAAAGCTAAAAATATGATATTTTGGATTACAAAACAGACATTTAACCTTACATTAAAAACATGTTTATTGCTTGATTTAGGAATTATTTTGTTTTTGTTAGTTATGATATACATCTTTCCATTTCAAGTGGACAGGAATTAGGAATAGGATTTTAACGGGACATTGTAATTATTAAAAGCTGAAAGTAATCAGCTAGTTTTCTTTTTCTTTTTCTTTTTCTTTTTCTTTTTCTTTTTTTTTCACTTGTTAAAGTTGTGGCTTATAGCTTTGCAATTATTGATTAATTACAGTCAAATAACCCATTCAATACAATACTTTTAATGCTACTTATTACACCGTATGTTCCAAAATATAAATAGTTTAAGGTTGTTGTATAAAGATTAAGGAAACAATTACAGATTATAACAAACTTAAAGGTAGATAATAATTTATTAATTCACAAATAACGGTTTGCTGGAAAATACAAAATAATAAAGTTTCTGGAGTCGACTTTATCTTCGTATGCTAACAACGAAGTATCTATTAATTAGAGGTTTAATTTCGTTATAAGCGGTCTTGGAACCAATTCACAAGTAATTAATAAAAAAAAAGTAATTAAATTAGAATTATATTTTGATTAGTGGACAATAGTCCCTTATAAAAAGTCATTGTCTATGGGTTGGTAGCTAAATTTAAAAAGTTTAATACAACCTGTTTAGACAATTTGTCTAACAAGTACAAGTTATTATGAAATTAAGCAAAGTTAATTAGGGAAAGATGATAAAAATGTGGGAGCTCCAGTTGTATTCTCAAATCCCAAGTACTAATATTGTCTAAATTAGTACAATTTGGCTAACCTATTGGACATATACAATTAATCAAATATATATATATTTAATAAAAAATAAAAAAGATTACACTTGCTCAACTTGTTCTTTTGAAAAATTGCACATTTTTGCACCAACCTGCCAATTGCACAACTTGTTCTGCTTCATCCAATAGAAATTCATTTGTAAAAGATATGAAAAAGAAGCAAATCTATCATTGTGGGATTGGGGGGAATAGTATTATTTTCCTTTTAAGAGCAAATTTAAACATTTTAGCAAAATTCCAAAGTCTTAAATTGTTCTTTTCTATTTTATACCCTCTTCAATGCCTTTTGGTACTTGTTGATTTAGATCCATTTCATTAATGTTATAAAAAAAAAAAAAAAAAAAGCTTAAATTGTTCTTTTCTATTTATACCCCTTCAATGCTTTTGGTACTTGTTGATTTAGATCCATTTCCATTAATGTTATAAAAAAAAAAAAAAAGAAAGACAATACCATCAATAACATTTGTTTTCATAAATAGTGAAAAAACAAAAAATTTATGAAAGTGTGAAAAATAGTTATAAAAAAAAAAAAAAAGAAAGACAATACCATCAATAACATTTGTTTTCATAAATAAGTGAAAAAACAAAAAATTTATGAAGATGTGAAAATAGCTCCTAGAATAGATTAGTAAGAATAATGATAATTGTTATTATATTCCTAAGTAAGACAAAAGAATTAAATAAAAAAGTTGATAGCTAGCCAATCAATAAATAAAAAGAATAAATAGTATTGAATAAAGGAGTATCCGGTTTCCGGTAAGCTGGACTTGGCAAGGTGGACCGTTGGACCGAAAGGAATAACCGGTTTTGAGGAAGGATTCATTGCATGTTTCTAAAGCCAATGTATCTGTGAAAGCAAAACCTCTCATATATAACTGTACACAATTCTCAACCTAACCCAACAATTCCGTAAACAAAGAACAACCAAAGAGAAAGAAAAACCTACATTCCTCTTCTTCTTGTTTCTCTTTTTTTGCCCTACTTCGTTAGGGTTTCAAGTTATTGACCTTTTTTTTTTCTTGGTAATGCATTCAAGCTTTCTTGGTTTATTTCTGATCTTGTTTTTCTTCGCTTATTTGCTTGTTATTGCAAGTTTTTCTGGTTTTTGGCCTCTTAATCAAGGTTTCGTCTTTTTTGTGTTCTCCGTCTTCTTCGTCTTCTTATTTGGGATTCAATCATGCCTACTCTTGTCAACTACAGTGGTAAGTTAACTTTTTTCTTTTTCTGTTGATTTTGAATTGATCTTTATTGGGTTATGTTTGGTTTTGACTTTTGATCTATTTGTGGTTTTTTGGATTGAGATTATTGATGATTGCTTTTTAGTTATTGAATTTCTTATATAAATGAATCAACTTGATTTTACTTAGTTGATAGGCTTCACCTGCAAAGATAAATAAATAAAAATGTTAGCTTTACTCGTTTAAGATCATAATCTGGGGCTTATTGGAGTTTATTTTCAACTGGGATTTTTCAGGAGACGATGAGTTCTATGCTGGGGGTTCTTTATGTACAAATTCCATGCTTTATTCAATTGGCTCCCTCGTTGATATATATAGCCCTCCTTGCAAGAGGGCACGCACTAGTTCCCCATTTCTTTTCGGGTCCTCTGATTTTGAGCAGAATAAGCAGCCATCAATCGACGTTCTACCAGATGAATGCCTTTTCGAGATCTTCAGGCGAATTCCTGGAGGCAAAGAGAGGAGTTCATGTGCTTGTGTCTCCAAGAGATGGCTTTTGTTATTGAGTAGTATTAAGAGGGCTGAAATTTGCGAGAGCAAAACTTTAGTTGCAGATAATGAGGTTACAGTTTCTGTTTCCAATGATGTTGAAATGATCTCTTCTGATGAAAATGGGAAAATTGAGAGTGATGGGTATCTTACAAGATCTTTGGAAGGAAAGAAAGCAACTGATACGAGACTTGCTGCAATAGCTGTTGGAACTAGTGGCCATGGTGGTTTAGGAAAGCTTATGATCCGTGGAAGCAACTCTGTTCGTGGAGTCACAGACCTTGGTTTGTCAGCAATTGCTCACGGCTGCCCATCATTGAGGGCTCTTTCTTTGTGGGATGTACCTTCTGTTGGTGATGAAGGTTTGTTTAAGATAGCCAAAGAATGCCATTTGTTGGAAAAGCTTGACCTTTGCAATTGCCGGTCAATTTCCAACAAGGGCTTGATTGCAATTGCAGAGAATTGCCCAAACTTGATTGCACTAAACATTGAGTCTTGTCCAAAGATAGGTAATGAGGGCTTACAAGCTATTGGAAAGTTTTGCACCAATTTGCAATCTCTTTCTATTAAAGACTGCCCTCTTGTTGGGGATCATGGAGTATCGAGTCTATTGTCATCAGCTTCTGGTGGGTTAACCAAGGTCAAGCTTCAGGCTTTGAATATCACAGATTTCTCTCTTGCTGTAATAGGGCACTATGGCAAGGCTGTTACTAGTCTTGTTCTCAGCAGTCTCCAGCAAGTGAGCGAGAAAGGCTTTTGGGTCATGGGAAATGCTCAGGGTTTGCAAAAGTTGATGTCTTTGACAATTTCTTCTTGTCGGGGTATAACAAATGTGAGTATTGAAGCTATAGCAAAAGGATGCACGAACTTGAAGCAAATGTGCCTGCGCAAGTGCTGCTTCGTGTCAGACAATGGATTGATTTCTTTTGCCAGAGCTGCAGGATCTCTTGAGAGCCTGCAATTGGAAGAGTGCAACAGGGTTACACAATCAGGGATTGTAGGTGCAATCTCAAATTCTGGAACAAAGTTAAAAGCTCTTAACCTTGTGAAATGCATGGGGATTAGAGATGGAACATCAGGAATGCCATTGCTCTCACCTTGTAGCTCTCTTCGATCCTTGTCCATCAGGAACTGCCCTGGATTTGGTAGTGCCAGCTTGGCTTTGGTGGGCAAGTTGTGCCCTCAGCTTCAGCATGTAGATCTCAGTGGCCTTTGCGCTATTACAGATTCGGGACTTCTCCCACTCTTGGAGAGTTGTGAGGCAGGACTTGTTAAGGTGAATCTTAGTGGCTGCATGAGTTTGACTGATGAAGTAGTTTCAGTCTTGGCTAGGCTTCATGGTGGAACTCTAGAATTGTTGAATTTGGATGGATGCAGGAAGATTACTGATTCTAGTGTGGCAGCAATTGCCAGAGGTTGTTTGTTTCTTAGTGATCTAGATCTGTCAAAATGTGCTGTCACTGATTCTGGAATTGCTGTCCTAGCAAGCGCAGATCAGCTCAATCTTCAAGTCCTCTCCCTATCAGGTTGTTCTGAAGTATCAAATAAGAGCTTCCCTTTCCTAAAGAAATTGGGCAGAACCCTGCTGGGGTTGAATCTTCAACACTGCAGTGCCATCAGCAGTAGCACAGTTGACCTGCTTGTTGAGAACTTGTGGAGATGTGATATCCTGTCCTAATCAGGAAGCGGAATGAAATGTGCAGAAATGAAGATATTGGACCGTTTTCTAGAGTTCAAGAAATCCAGTTGGATTTCATAGCTTGTACAAGAATTAATTTTCATATAGTCAGCTCACACTGGTAGCAGCATTCAGCATAGGTTTTTTGGCCCATCAGTATAGTGGGTACACTAGTAACTCCGGTTTGGTTGTTTTCCAGGGAACTTTGGCAGATCACTCCTTCGTTTCACTTTTTGCAGGCTTGAAAGCTTGTTGTAACTCTTTAGCCCCCATTCCTGGGAGGCATACTCATTCGAAGCCATGGTCTCTTGAGAATACATTTACCAAACCCTAGTTAGATTTTCGCCTGCAACTACTCCATTCCTTATCTCAAGTGCTTGTTGTCCTTTGCTGGATGTGAATACACACTTTGAATGTCAGCTCGTCAATTGATGTTTGATGGCATATTGATAATCGATCCCTCGACCAAGGTTACTTTGTTCAAGTCATGTGCAGTCTCTTGTTTTAATAAGTTTATCTCAGTTGCTAGTGTCTTTATAAATATTAATAATGCTTGAAGCTCTTGTTACTTTGTTTATAAAGTAACAAAGGTTTATAAGGGTTACTTTGTTCAAGTCATGTGGAGAGTCTCTTGTTTTGTTAAGTTTATCTTAGTTGGGAGTGTCTTTATAAATATTAGTAATACTTGAAGCTCTTGTAGCGGTCGAGGTTCTTGTGTGTCCTTGGTGTGTAAGGTTGCTTAGGGCAGTTCTGTGTCTTGGGGTGCCTCAGATCAGCAGGCTTTGGCAGTGGCATTATGGGTGATAACTTTGTTTTGTATTCTAAGCCAGGCTTGATTTTTCAGGTTCTCTTTGATTATGAATTGTTCTCTGCAACTGCTTCAATAAAATGTAATATTTCCCTTTCTGTTGTGTAATTCAGTCCTTTGGAAGGTGTTTCTATGAGATATTTTTCACAATTGCTCCTTTTAGAGCCTAATCCTAAGTTTCTGATTTCTGATGCAGATGCTAAATTTAATGTTCTACTGAAAAGATAATTGAATAGTTGAAAAATGCTGGATGTTCATAGTTCAAACTTCAAACTGTTAAACCCTAACCGTTTTTTCTGAGAAATTTAAAATATTTATATATTAATCTGATAGATTGCTGAGCTTTTCCCTGTTCGCATCTGTTGCATAGAGGACCATGGCTCTGAAGAGAGCTATAATGGCTGGCTTCTTTGTAGAATCTTTAATCAGTAATTCTTGAGGTGTCTGTTTTATGCCATACAATAAATTTTCATCAAGATCACAAATATTAAAAGAGAAATCATCAAATACAAAATTACAAATCCCAGTATTAAAACAACTTCTCATCAAATTTTACCTATTGGGTTTGCACTAAAACAAGTTTTTGGCTACAGGGACCAGATTCAGTACCACTTACAATGCTTGCATATTATAGGCATTTGAAAGAAAATACAAGTTTGCTACCATTTTGTTGTTTTCCTAATTTGTCCAAGACAATAACGGTAACTGAACTGCTACCTAAAGGCTAGAAATAGAATAGTGCAAACTTCAATTCAATTATTTTTGTTAGGATAGCTGTGGCCAACCATCCGCTTGCATTTATTGTATTAACCCGTGTAATGCATAAATTTGCTTCTCAAATTTACATGATTTGTTTTGTGACACTCTAAAATTTACGAGAATCTATCATGAATCCACACTTTTACATTTCATTAATAACTACACTTTTTGTCCAAATGAAATGACTTTGTAATAATTCAATCATCATGAACATGCATTTTTATATTTTACTTTGACGAATGACGTAGTTATTATTGAAATGTGAAGTTAAGGTTCATGACAAATTTGAGGCTACCATAATTCTATAAATGAGTGTATGCAATATAATGAATTCTACAATTCATCAAAAAATTAAAAAAAAACAATTCATTTACAAAAAGATCACAACAAAATTCATTTGCAAATAAAATGTACTTGGGGTAAATTTATTTTAAACACAATATAAAGATAGTTTTTGACAATTTCTTTCTGATTAGAAGAAGGAGAAAAAAAAAAAAGAAAAGGAAATTGCACATTCTTAAAGGAATTTTCATTCCCACATGCTCAAAGTTTCTCATAATCTGAAGAAAAAGCCAAAAGAAAAAAAAAAAAAAAAAAACAAAGAAAAGGAAATTGCACATTCCTTAAAAGGAATTTTCATTCCCACATGCTCAAAGTTTCCTCATAATCTGAAGAAAAAAAAAAAAAAAAAAAAAAAAAAAAAAAAGGAAAGCAAGCAAGAAATTGAAAAGTAAAGACATGTTAAAACCAAATTATACATATATAGTAGAGAGTAAGAAAAGGAGTGGCAAGCTTAGACACATATAGTATACAATATTTTTGTTTTTGCATTTTGGAGAGAAAGACAAAACAGGTGAAGACAATTAGTGGTTCAATAATTTTAAAAAGAAGTCAAGTCATCAACCAAGAAAAAAATGAAAAAAAAAAAAAAAATGTAACTTCAGTCATTCACACTGAAACCCTGAACACACTGTGACTATTGCTTGAAAAGAGACTTCAAGAAAAAGAATAAAGGCTATTCTTTGTGGGACCAGTCTCCATGCCAGTTGCCACAAACAATTTATATGGAGTATTACTTGAGATTTTTTTTTTTTTTTTTTTTTTTTTTTTTTTTTTTTTTTTTTTTTTAAAGTATATAGAACTTGAATAGTTTTCTATATTGAATACCTTTTTTCTTACCCCGCTTTGTTAGAAGAAAAACTGAAACATTTTTTTTTTTTTTTTTTTTTTTAAGTATATAGAACTTGAAAATAGTTTCTATATTGAAATACCTTTTTCTTACCCGTTTAGAAGAAAACTGAAACAAAAACAGTATTTTTAATAACTCCAATAGATCAACATATAGCTTCCCACTTTCTTCCATACCCACTTGATAAGGCCTATGGCTTCATTAGCTTCCTACCCAAATGGGCTAAGAATTGTTGCAGTGGTCACTCTGCTTCTCATCTTTTCAGGTAAAACAAAAAAAAAAAAAAATGAAAGAAACCCATTTTAGTTTGAGTCTTTTGACACTACAAGCTGAAACTACACTACAAAGATAAAAAAGAAAAGAAAAGAAAGTTCTATCTTTTTATGAAAATTCATACCTTGTTGATTTGTGGCAGTTGGATCATCATCATCATCAGGAGGAGGAAGAGGAAACGAAGAAGAGAAGCAAAGAAAAATGCACTTAGGTTCAAAGCCTCCCAACTGTGAGAATAGATGCTGGAATTGTAGACCTTGCATGGCTGCTTTAGTTTCTCCTCCACATCATAAAACGACATTGTCGTCTAAAGGAGATAATGAAAATTATTATCTGCTCTCATGGAAGTGCAAATGTGGAGATAAGTACTTTCAACCTTGATACAAATAACAATAACAATAAATGTATATTATAAATAAACCCGTAATTTATAGCTAGCTACTTGGCAGCTTATCTTTCTACCTCTAGTTGATCACTTCTGTATCTGTAAATTCTTCTAAGTAAGCTTTGAGAACTAAATTATTAATTAGTATTGATCAAATGATTCTTTGATTAAGGGTTTGTTCGGTAAAATTAACTATTTTTGTAGCTAATTATTAGCTGTTAATTGTTTGAGTAGCTTTTAATAAAATACTATAAAATACTATCTTAACCTCTAAAAAGTTACTTCAAACACTACAATTATTTGCACATATTAAAAAAAAAAAAATAGCGTTTAACATGTTGATAACTACTTAATAAGATATTGCCGAACATAGCCTAAGTAAAATCAAAATACTTCACTTGTGCAAACAATTAATTTGTCAACTCCAAACGTATTAACTGTAATTGTAATTTCTGTTTGTTATGCTTACAACTTAATTATGAAATTAAGAGAGTGATCTCTTGATCTAATTTTTAATAATATGATTAATTTTCTTTTTGTTCTTTAAACTTTTAAAGTTACTTAAGATCTACACCATCGTATAGGGCATATAGGCCTATGGAAGACGAACAAAAACTAGCTTATCTCTGGTTTTGTTCGATTCTAGTCTTGTTATATTATTTCTTTATTTTCCCTCAAGAAACAGATCGAACAGGCTTTTGTTTGAAAAGTTCAGGACAGCTTCGGTCAAGTCAAAGTTCCCCTAGTTTTTTCTACTCAAATTATTGAATATATACCACCCAGCAATGCTACATTAGATTACAGATTTAACTGTATGATATACAAGTTATGATCACTTCTATGGCCATAAAGCAGCTAAATTGCCGGTTAGCTGCTCGAGCCCATTTAAACTCGTTCCACATAAGTCCAATAGCTCGAACTCGAAGCTCGAATTCAAACCCGTAAAGGGACAAATTTCTCTTTTAAAACAATAAACGTATAAACAAATTGAATTTGAATTTGAATTTGAAATTCACTCAAATTGTAGATTTTTAGAATTTAAATCGAGTTAAGTATAAATTTATCGAGTCAAGCTCTAATTCAACAAATCTCATGTTTTTATAGCCCTGATCACTTCTAGGGTATTCGCTTTCACACCAAGGTTGCAGCATTAAATGGAAACATTACAAGGAATCTTTTTATCAGCACAGAAGGAAAAGGAAATAGATGAAGTGCAAAAATTTCTAAACGACAAGGAATCTAAGTATTACATCCTTTTTTTTTATTATTATTATTACCATCTTAACATTGGAATTCGCATTACATATATGTATATATATGGCTTCTAAATGCAGGGTTGATAGGAAGGAGCATATGACTATTCTCTGGCTTTGCAAAATTATTATTTTGCGCCGATCAGAATATACAGAAGGCAGAACATATGCCACAGATACTACATTCTACTCATTCCCGTTTGCCAAGTTATTTCCGAGTTGGACTATCTACCCTCAGCGCCTTGCTTGCTGATTAGCTTCATATCCACATTTGTGGATCAGCAACTCATTGTTGCAAGCAGACTGGAATTCACATTTTCTGATGGTTTCCAGATAATATGTTCTAATTTAGCACAGAAGTTCTTGTAGAACTGCAAATGAGAGTTACACATGATAAAAACCGCGCGCATTAGTAAATATATGGAAGTATTTCGATCAGATACATGCTACTGCATATTCCAAAAATAAACAAAGCGAAAGCAAAGCTGATGTGTTGAGGCAAAGATAAAATCGCACATAATCTTCTAAGCATTTACTTTTTTTTTTCAGGCGATATAATCACTTACGGTCCTTGATTGGTCATAATTGGGAGAAAAATCATACAATTTTTACATCTTTTTTTCTTTCTTTTCACCTGTTTTAGCTGAATTCTTGAATCACAGCTTTATTTAGTCAAGTTGAATGCTTTTTGGCACAATAAAAATCTATAGAAGTTCACCTAGCAAAGTGACTAATGCTTATATCATATAAAATGACTTGTGTCAGATGAACACATCTTTTTCTCATGGCTAGATTAGCTGGCTTCTTACACACTTTATTCTGCACTCACAAATCATGAAACCCACCTGAATTCGAGGAAGGTGGATCCACATTCATGTGAGTGAGGCGTATTGTGTTAGTACCAGGAGCACACAATACTTGGCCAATTTTATGTACATTACATTATCAATGACACTATGATTATAAACGCAGCACGGCATGAAGATGAATAAAATAAAATTTATGAATAATATGATGCAAGTACCTTGTGATATTCAAGAGTATCTCCAGAAGCCTTTCGGACATCCACCATGAAAAGTGATGGTGCAACTTCATAGACCTGTGGCAATTTAGAAGCGGTACTTGAAATGAAACCAGTGGAAAATTAGCTTTTATAAAATACAACTTAGACAGAGAGAGAAGAATTATATGTGCACAGTTACCTCCAGGACAACTGCAAATGGTCCAGCTTTATTAGCGGAGATTCCTTCTAGTCTTGTCTGTAACAATAATTATTTATTGGAATCAATTGTATAATATGAAGATATCAAGGTCAAATAATTGCACTAATTAACATATCAAAATTCAGTCAATCAATTGGCCTCTATGTTGGTGACTTCTTTCACAGGGATTGTTCTAATTGTGTGACACTGTGACTCTTGAGTTATGATCAATTGGTTTGCTTTGTCAACTTGTTTGTATTTTCTCTTGACACGAAGTCTATCCACTTTCTTCTGTTATCAATACGATGATGTTCCATTCCTTAGAGAACAAAAGGAAACAGAAAAAACAAATGAACAAATATTTCCTTGTATATTCGCAGAGATGGCAGCATCAAACCTAAAGTCTTTTCTGCAAAATATACTTTATGTAACCAACTTCTGAGTGGTTTGCGGAATAAGATATGTTAACTTTATCCCTAGTCATAAACTTTTCTTATCAAGAAACAGGCCATCGACACATATTGCTAGAAGCACCAGTTTAATCCAAACCCAGCAAAACATTTTTCATTAGAAGATAGGGATACTAAACCAAACACAATTTTTTCTTTTTTCAAGAATTTCAATCAAGTTTTCGAAAACTCTCAACCTAGAATCCTTAGTTATCATGGAATCAAATGAATAAATTTAATCTCAAAAATGCTTCCACATGCAAAAAGATCCTTCAGTTTAGAAGAATGAATTAAGCGCAGGTCCATTACATAACTAAGACAGATATTTACAAGAATGGGTGAATGATTAAAAAATCTCAAACTTCTTGCATAGTTTTTGTAATGGCGATTTCTTTCAATGTTATTAATTTTGCATTTTGTTGTATCAACAGTAGCACCTGTTTTCTTCTTCTTATTCTTCTTTTTTTTTTTTTTTTTTTTTTTTTTTTTTTTTTAAATGAATAAAAGCAGTAATTGGGAATATTGTGGCCTGCATATTGAGACTCCATATTTGAAATGATTTTTTTTTTTTTTTTTTTTTTAAATGACATAAAGCAGTAATTGGAATATTGTGCCTGCATATTGAGACTCCATATGAAATGACTAACATGATTAATTTGACCAAATGTATGTTTTCTTAGTCACCTAAATTTGCCTACCAGTGACCCAACTAGCTGTTAGAAAACCAACTCAACTAATGGAATAGCATGTCATGATTGATATATAAAAAAAATTCACTATGATGTGGGGGAAAGGTACAGACTTTTTTGGTCATTAACTTCTATAAAAATAGGTCATGCAGAATCTTAATTGCGCACCACACAGCCAAAGAAGCTGTTGCATTATGATCAGAAAACAGAACAACGATTTAAAGTAACATAAATTCCTGTTAATAAAATAAATTGTAGCTAAGAAATGTTCCACAACAAGCCATACCTTGTAATTTCGTGTATGAACCTTGAGATTCATTGATTCTGCAACAGCTTCAATAGATGAAATTATAACATTTGCTGGTTTGCGGGATACAAAACGGGTTTGTCTTTTCACATAATCCTGCCATTAGCCAACAAACCGAGGCACTTTGATAATTGCAACAGTTATAGAGAAGCCATTTAAGGATAAAGAACAAAGAAGAAAAAGGAGATTGCATCAATGTTGGTGCAAGAATCACCAATAACCAGCTAACAGATGGAAACTTCAGGCCCTACGGATTTTAGCACATCACTTTTAATCATGCCTCCAACATATATATAAAAGAACCTGGAGGCTATGATACCAAACTCTATTATTTACTTGTCTTCTACCGAAAAATATATATATATACATACCTGTTGCCTATCAAACAATGCTGATAAATTCAACCCCTGGGACAGGGTAATCATCTCAAAGGCATTCATAATTAAAGGACGCCCCTGACTTTTATCTTCTGATTGCTCTGCTACATATTTGTCCTGCAAAATACCAAGAAATTGCCAATCAAAAAGAGGAAGACCCACCCAAAGATGGCCAAGAAACGGTCTACAAGACATTAGGCTGCGTTTAAGATACAACAGAGAAGGAAAGAGAGGAACTCAAGAAAAAGATATCTGAAGTCAAGCAAATTAATGCACTCATTTCTAGAACCCATCAATTCCAATTTTGGAGTCATGTGAGCTTACTCTTTTATTTTTATTATGGATAAGAAATAATCGCTAACCTCAATGTCATCAAAAACTGCACGAACATCATCCAAATTCACTTCCTCCTCTTTGTTATTTTTGACAGGCACATAGTATTTCTGAAACCATGGATCCCTTTTAATTCCTTCAATCCCTATACGCTGCCCAAAGCAAACTAATTATGGAAATGAGAAACAAATATCATAAGTATCCTCAAGTTCATACCAAATGTATATTTTGCCATTTATTCATGGGTTTGCAACATGCACTCAACTCAAGCCATACAATGAAAGCTTCCGCAACATAATTCTAGTTCGATAGTAGGTTTTAAGATCTCAATGAACAATAGAAAGGAACTCTTTTATCCTCGTGCCTGAACTGCCTGTAACTTGTATACACGAAAAATTTTTACAAGAAATCTTCTATAAAAGATCAGTACAGCAACAAGTTCTCGCCTCGTTAGTCTTCTATTTTTGCAAGGTCATGCTATATGCTTTGCACTAAAAGCATGCAAAAAGTCATTCAAATACATCAAAATAAAACCAAAACATAAAAATGGTAATAGAATCCATAGGCTAATCTAAGCCAATCACTGCGGCTCAGGCCACTAAAAACTATTGCATATAAATGCATCAATTCTGATTCACCAACTACTTGATATGGTGAATAAAACACTCACAGTTTTAGGGCTACGATCAAGTATCTTGTCTATCAAAGCCTTTGCCCCAGGAGAAAACCAATGCGGGCAACTATATTCTGCAGCATTTATCTGAACACAACAAGAAAACCAGTTAAAAAGTATCTAAAATATATTTGTGAGATATTAAGTACTTACAGAGTTCTCATTTAGCATAACAAAAAGAAGTCCTCATGGGAAGGATAATAATAGTAATAAACAGGAAGGATTTCACAGCTCTACACATTTCATGCATAATAAGAACAAACACAGAGGTAAAAGTGCCTCTTCAGAACTAAAAACCTCCATAAGTGATGCAGTTACGGATATATGCAAGACCAGTACCTCGGGATAACCAAAATAAAAGAACATAAATATGAGTCCATGCATAACAGATATGAAGAAATCTGGGGCAAACATGCAAGGAAATTGGCAAAACTGTTAATTTACATAAATTTACTTTATAATGAAAATGAGTGCCTTCCTGAACAGGCAAGGGGGATAAATATGAACATAAGTTTGGATATTTGGAGGAAATTCATTAGTTTAGAAATATATGGATTACACTACAAAATTCATAACCTGTTCATTTGACCCAAAAGAGAATTGATAGCAACTAACCTTTTTGTATAATGTTGGAAGGTCTGCCTCATCAAATGGAAGATAACCAGCCATCAGAACATAGAGAATGACTCCACATGACCACACGTCAGCAGCTGCCCCATCATAACCCTCGTGGCTGAGCACCTGATAGGCAGTCCTTTAGTTCAAGAAATTCAGAAATACTACAAAAAACAAGACCTTTTTCCCCACATGCAAAGATAATTGGCCTCACTAAAAGTTGCACAAATGCATCCACCTTGTCACAGACAATATTCAAGATATAGAAATTCGTGATATATCACAATCACAAAGAAAATGGTTACCAGGAAAATTATGAAAATTTATAGCAATGAATTGAAAAGACAGCCACAAGGAAAAGCTGACATGCAACAGCTAAAAAGGCCAGTGGCGGATCTACTTCAGAAAAAGGGGGTTAAATTAAGGCTTCTTCTTTTGTAAATTCCCTTTAGATGCATATATATATTTTCTGAATTGGACCCTCTTCTTTTGTAAATTCCCTTTAGATGCGTACATATATTTTTCTGAATTGACCCCTCTTCTTTTGTAAATTCCCTTTAGATGCATATGTATGTTTCTAAATTGACCCCCCTTAAAATTAAGATTACACCCTTTTTACAATACTCCCTCTGTCCCATTTTGTTTGCTTGTCTTTAGATGCGTACATATATTTTTCTGAATGACCCCTTCTCTTTTGTAAATTCCCTTTAGATGCATATGTATGTTTTTCTAAATTGACCCCCCCTTAAAATTAAGATTACACCCTTTTACAATACTCCCTCTGTCCCATTCTGTAGTTTCTTAGTTATTCTCTTATTTTTTAGATGGTCCTAAAATGTTTTGCAAGTTTTCTAAAATTTTAAGATATGTAAACAATTTACTTTTTCCCATTAATACCTTTATTGATTGTATCATTAAATGAAGGATTTTTATTAATATCTCAATGACGGTATAAACGCCGCCGTTTAACAGATGGACTAAAATAATACTTTTATTGAACTAAATTCTCTAAATATGCCGTTGTTGTCTTTTGGTTCAAAAACCATGCAAAAACAAATGGAATGGAGGGTGTATTTTACTATTATATTGAAACCAAGAAAATTTTCTTTCTAGGACCCTGAAAAAGGCAATGAGTCTTCCCTGATAGGCGCGGCAAAACATTAAATTAAAGCATCTACAGTTTATCACGATTTCAGTGAAGTTTTACTGCTCCACTCTCTCTCTACTCAATCATCCCTCAACAAGAGTCAGCAAAGACATTTTCCCATGTGTCCTCTGCCTGCACCCCCTATCCACAACAAAGAAAAAAAAAAGTAGGTTGGGCTTTCTTAATTTCTTATTCTTTTGTAAATTCCCTTTAGATGCATATGTATGTTTCTAAATTGACCCCCCTTAAAATTAAGATTACACCCTTTTTACAATACTCCCTCTGTCCCATTTTGTTTGCTTGTTATTCTTTTTTTAGATGTCCTAAAATGTTTGCAAGGTTTCTAAATTTAGATATGTAAACAATTACTTTTCCCATAATAACCTTTATGATTGTTCATTAAATGAAGGATTTTTATTAATATCTCAATGAGTTAAGGGTAAAAAATGGCTAAATAACTTTTATTGACTAAATTCTTAATATGCGTGTTTTGTCAAACCATGCAAACAAAATGGAATGGAGGGTGTATTTTACTATATATTGAAACCAGAAAATTTTCTTTCTAGACCCTGAAAAAGGCAATGAGTTCCATAGGGCAAATAAATTAAGCATCATACAGTTTCACATTCAGTGATTTTATCCACTCCTTCACAATCATCCCTCAACAAGAGTCAGCAAGACATCCATGTGTCCTCTGCCTGCACCCCCTATCCACAACAAAGAAAAAAAAAGTAGGTTGGGCTTCTTAATCTTAATAGCTTCTGGTATGGTTAAAGTTGTCGAGAAATCCTATATTGCAAGTAGAAATTCCTCATGCAATTTTATGGTCATTAAAAAGTTGCTGACAATGGGAAAATGACATTTTAAATGTCTAAACTTATCAGGAATTTCTATTAAGTGCCCAGAACATGACGGGAATCACCCCCAACAATCCCCATAAGTTCAGGCAAAATATCGTTATCCCCCTTACATTCTCCACAACTAGCCCATGGAATAACTAACTAAAACCTAGTAACCTAATAAATGATAACCACATGAGCTTGCCAAGTTTGCAAGCTGTTTGTCCAATGCATATGATGAAATTCAAAGTTTGGGACAGAATGAAGCTAGGATCATATCATGATGTAATTTTTAGGATCAAATAATGTCAGAATTGTGTTGAGCAGCAACACTCTCGTGCAAGAACCTAGGACCAAAACACGGGGCACGCATGTTGGCTAATTGAGCTGCAGTCGCTAAATGTGAGGGAGAAGGAGTGGATAGGAAAAGGCATCCAAAAGGAAGTTTTATTTAAAAATTCAATAAAACAGATGCATCACAGCAGTGCGAATCATTAGAAGGGCAGGAGGTGAAATGCTAGCATAGATGGAAAAATATAATAGCCGACACCAAAATCCTAGATGCGTATAGAACACTTGAAGAGAATACAAAATCTAAAGAGAACATATCATATTGCTTGTTTTTTGAGAGCATACCTCAGGGGCAACATAATTCGGGGTTCCACATGTGGTATGAAGAAGTCCAACCCCCTGGAAAATACATAAAGCCATAGTGAGGGCACAAGCAATGAATGTTTTGCATTACAGCTCAGAAACAAGAATTTCTGATGCCAATGGAGTCAAACAATAAGATTTTCAAGCTTACTTTCTGGGGCAATGCACTAAGTCCAAAGTCAGAAACCTTCAAATTTCCAACAGAATCAAGGAGGAGGTTTTCAGGCTACATAAGAAAGGGAATTAATCAGGATTAATGCATGACATCATGAAATATAAAACCATCTTACAAAAGAAATATGTCAACTACTATCATAACTGATCACCTTCAAGTCTCTGTGATACACACCCTTACTATGACAATAAGCGACTGCATCTATAAGCTGTTGAAAATATCGCCTTGCTTCATTTTCAGAAAGCCTCCTTTGAACCTGTTCAACCTGATGAGAGTGATATAAATATATTTTCCACAAGTCAACTAAGTAAGAATTGGTATTTTGGAGAACACAAGGCAACAGCAATTAGCTGTCGGGACTTAGGAAAAATGTACTATCAATTTTAAAATTCTTTGATCACGCTAGCAAGAAGGATTTCAAAATTTTTTAAGGATATCAGGACAACATCGCCTTACAATTTTATCAAATAGCTCCCCTCCAGTAACGAACTCAAGAATAATATATATCTTTGTCCGGCTTGCCAGTACCTAGAATTTGAACATGAATGAAAAGGAAAAAAAAATGTATGTTCATAATCATATATCAGAGAAAGTAGCAATCATACTGAACTACTACTAGATGGAGTTTACTAATGTTATAAGGATAATTAAAAAAGTCAAAATATATACCTCATGCAACCTAACTATGTTAGGATGTCTAACAATCTTCATGATTGATATCTCCCTTTTAATCTGGAGCCAAAACAAGGCATATTATTTATACAGGGAAGGAAAATAAATAAACTCATAACCCATAACGTAATTCGTATTAACTCCATTACGATGAATAGTATCAAGCAAAACAAATTAACATCCACCCCCTAGCGTTGCCATAACCTTAGGCAAAAACACAGTTGTCTTTGGCAGTTTTAACAGTTATAGGAACTCAACATTTAAAAGAATCTTGGTTGTCAAATTTTAGGCAGGAAGGAGAAGAGCTATTGTAGGTTCTCCATTAAAAACTATTGAATTTACATCCACCTTTTACAAAAGTACCTGATCAACCATTTTATGCTTGAGAATGGTAGTTTTTGCCATAACTTTCATGGCTACACTCTCTCCTGTTTCTCTGTTCTGTGCAAACTTAACCTTGGCGAAAGTTCCCTCTCCAATGGTCCGGCCGACCTCATACTTGCCTACCTTCCTCGTTAAGTTCTTCATGATTCCTTTAATTGCATTTCACGCACCAAATCCACTCAAATACTGCAAATAGAAAACAAAAATTACACAAAAAATCAGTATTAAAAGGAAGAATTGTTCATCAATTGTCAAATTTGGTAAAGCTATAGGAAGCTGTTAATTGATAATGGAATTGAAATTCAAGCAAAAGAAAATGAGAACACTATAGAGAATATACCAGTAAAATGCTAACCGGAAATTTAGAGGAAAGAAGAGTGAGGATTTTGCCAGGGAAATTAGATCTTCCAAGCTCAAGCCGGAGAATTTAGCTCGGTGAAAATCGGCTCCGGCGAGCGTTGACAAATAACAAGAGTTAAATGTGGAGAGAAAAAATGTATGAATTATATACTTCTATACCCTTCTACGCCACCAATAGGAATGGCTTGACCTCACCTGTTTTTTTATATGTTTGTATAATTTTTTTACACTAATTACCATTTCATCCTAATTTTTAATTTAATTGGCAAATTTTATTTTGAAACGGGAATTAATAGATACTCAGTATTTAATTAAGCTGATTCATATTAGTGGGTTATAGCTAATTTGCTAATTTAAAGCTAAAAAGTGTGTAAAAAAGTTTTAATTTCCATATTTTAAAAACTAGTCCATCAGAAACTTGGCATGGAAAGCATAATAGATTGTAAAATAAATAAAGAATGCGCTTTTCCTAAAAATGGTGGCTTTTTTTTAGAATATTATATTATATTTTCGTGGTACAAAATGACTGGCGTGATCAACTTTCAACTTCCTCATTCTTAATGATTTGGGTGGTGCGTTTCCAACTCAGCCGCAGATGAGAAATAGCAAGGCTTCAAAAGCTTTATCACTTTTTTGAATGTAAATGATTTTGATTTTTTTTAAAATGAATTTGAATAATATTATAAATGGATTTAGATTTGAGATACCGTTTAAATTAATTTTTAATTTTAGAGATTGAGATAGCATTTAATAAAAATTATTTAAACAGTTAATAGCTACCAAAATAATTAATTTTACCGAACGGACTCTCCTCGTTGTGCCAGATAATTGAGAACAAATTGTAAAACAACATATATGGCTTAAGTGCCAACAAAAGTCAAGTTGATAAACTCTATTAGATGCCATAATTAAGCCATTGATTATTGCTTAAATGAGATTATGCATAAAAATATTAATCAATACTATGTATAGGTTGGATTAGATCAACGATCTTTTTATTGATATTTAGCCATATTTTTTAAATAGATTTGAGTAGTTCTATAAATTGTTGAAATAATTAATTAGATTAAAGCTGAGTTTTGGGTTCAATTAAATATTGCAATTGATTATAACATTCAGGCTCCATTATTTCCAAAAAAATAATTTATTTTTGAAACATATTTTTTAAATGATTTAATTTTCGTTGTTTGATTGCAATATTAAAAATTAGTTAAAAAAATATTAAATTTTTAACTTGTAAAACCATAAAAATATTAATTAAGGGTAATGATGAAGTCATGAATGCTTGAAATAAATAACATATAAAAATGTTAATTAAGGGTAATAATGTAATCAAGTATATTTTTTTTTTTTTTTTTGTGAAAATTTTTTTCAAAATTTAATTATACAAAATTGTCTTATTTTCTTCGAAATTTGCAGTTGTCATTCAAAAAAATACAATTTTCAATATTCCTATAATTAATTTACTGAAACTATGTTTGAAAAAGATAAAAATGTTCAATTTCAATAATGAACGCCTTTACTTTGAAATTTTTGACTTATAATTTCAAATGGATTTTGACTTAATTGAAACTGTTAAATTATATAAGACAAGTCATGTACCCACGCGATATGTGGATTGTATAATTTTATATTTTTTAATTAAATTGAATGCAATTTTTAATAAAACTATTTTAATTTATATTTATATTTCTTTAATTTAAATAATTTATTTATGTATTTTTTATTAAATAATGGAAAGGTAAAATTATATGCTCTTTTTTAAATTCTCAAATATTAAATTGAAATATTAATTAGCACAATTAATTATTATAAGCAAATTATTGTTATTCAATTGATATAATTAGTTAATTATTTATTTTTTCTTTGAAATTCTCATATATTCACATCCATGACATCATTTTCATATTTTAATATGTTGCCATATAAACATTTAGGCCTTAAAAATTATATATTTATATAGAGATAGATGGATAGATAAATATTAGAAAAAATCTATAAGTACGAAAAATATAAAAATAAACAACAGAAAATAATTATGTCTAAGTTGTTAATATATATATATAATTAAACAAGAGAAAATAAATGTAAGATAAGAATAAGAATATTCGAGATTATATATTAGCAACGTGCTATAAATAAGAGAATATTTAAATTTGAGGTAGTAGATGTGTATTTATTTTATTTTAATGTTAATAAAATTATTAGTCATTGTCATAGCTGAAGGAATCTAATTTTCTTTTGGTTTGTACGCAATACTTTGTAATAATAAAAAAATTAATAATTATTAACTGCTGATTAAGGCTGAAAAAAATCTGTATATTAAAATAAGATTAGATTAGCATGTGACCGCATGAGCATCAAAATTCAAAGTCATGACAGCCAAATTATGGTGGGGTTTAAAAGTATTTGACAAGCGCCACTTTGATTTGTACTTTTTTTTTTTTGGGCTAGTTGGTTGGTATCATTTGTATGTCTTCTTCTTTTATTTTTTTAAATCATCCGCCAGCTCGGGATTTAATTATAATTAATATTGTTCACCTCTCCGCGCAGGTATGTGTTAAAAATCACACATCGGTTAAATACAAAATTCACAAATGACATATAAGGTGACAAGCTAACTAGTTAATTAGTTAGTACTAACATTTTAGCATTTTTTGGCCCAAGTAAGCGTACATCATATATTTTCACTTAATGGACGCTAACCTCCTGCCCAGTTTACCTCTACTCTTTTCACCTCTACCCTTTCATTTGTAATAGTATATTTACTTGGAATAGACCCTGAAAGCTTTCTCTTCTCACATGCACAACTTGCGTTGCCAACTGAGTTATAACCCGTAGGTTTATATGTCTTTTTTCTTTTTTAGTTTTTATTTTTTAAAATTAAAAATGAAAATGACTTTATTATTTTCTTTTCTTGACTTAATGACAATTTTTTTTTCAATTCAATTGGAAATCCAATAGGCTGAAATAATATTATGGACTATATAATAAAATAATACTTTTCTTAATTCATTAAATCGGTGAAAACTCTTATAATGCTAGAAAAATGTACATGTCTGATGGAAGAGCATCCAAAATCACACTTGGAGGACTTTGAAGAACAAGAACAACCATGGAAGAACTAATAGCCCAATTAGCTAATTTGTCAAGTAACGTATTTTTCTATTTTAAAACATCAACCAATAAAAGGAATATAATTTAATAATAATTTATTTTTAAAAATGTCTAGCAAAACTTATTAAAACATCATTCGTTGAAAAGAGCCATGAATTTACCTTGTGATTTGGATTAAAAAAGGAAAAGGAAAGCTGAAATCTTTTACTCATCTGACCTGTAGCTTGGCCTGTGGTGGTTGTTCCGTTGACATCGGAGAAAAATAGTGACCGGAGAACGGAGAGCAGGGACACCGGCATAGACCAACGGTTAGGTTGTTGGTTGAAACTTGAAATACAATATGGCTAAGGCAAATAAAGATGGGCCAATAATGTTTTACGGGCTTGATCAATTGCTGTATCTTATGAGAGCAAAAGCCCTATTCAATGCCTGCAAGTCGAAAGAAACTTGAAAATTTCAGCATATACCATGTGTTCTATTAAACTAAAATAATACAGAGAAGGATCGGTCATACAAAAGTTTATTATTAAATTAAAATTTTAATTAATGTTTTTATTTATAATACATTAAAATAAAAATAATATATTCATGCTAATCAAGTGTGATTTGATTGGTTTTTCTATTTCTTATAAAAGATGTAAAGAGCGAGAGGTCTCAAGTTCGAGTTCTCTCCACTACAATGTCATTCAAAGGGGAGGGCTACCTCATGTTATTCCGGTTCATTGTATAAAAAAAAATATTCATCTTAATAAATATATATCATTATACATCATGATACATAAAAACAATTATGCATTTAATGGTCATTTTATATTTTAACGATAAATATTATTAAAATTTTACTAAACATCAGTCATCAATTATCAACGATATGAACCACGGAATTAAACGGGCCCTAGTATCATAGTGGCCCTAAGACTCTTTAAACCCTAGGTTGAATGCAAGACCTTGTTTCAGAAACTGGGTCTGAGCTAAATCTTGGACTTGGCCAACACAGTCTTAGGCTTCTTGAAATGGCCCAAATGTACACAATAAAAGACAAAAAATTTCCTGGGTAACCTTTTTTGGGCAAGAAACAAAAGAATCCCAATCAAAAATCCCTTCCCCCTCCTCCCCGCCCCCACAAGAGGAGAGGAGAGGTGGAGAGCGGATTCCCTATGGTCAATTATATAATTAATGGTAGGCTAAGCGTCAACCCCCCCAGTCAATTCTTTGATTATGATCTAATTGACAAGAACATCATGGAAAAGACCTGAGGAGCACGAGTCATGGGCCCTACTTAATGATCTTCCAATTGTAATTGGAGGGTTAGAGAACTAAAAAACAAATTGATCTTTTAAAGTGGAGGAGAGGATGGGCTGAATTTGATATGCTTTAGTGATTTTTCTTTTTCTTTTATTATTATTATTATTATTATTATTATTATTGGAATTTATGGACGGCTTTGGTGCGTCCATGATGTCGAAATTCAACTCGAATAATTCACGAGCGTGAATAGTTATATGGCATAAAAAAAAAAAATTTTGTATTTTAGAGATAATATAAATAAGATTATCTTTTCTTTTTCCTCTTTTGTAACCTAACTTTAAGGGACAATGAACGCAAATCTAGACATGGGGCGTTAGTAGTATTCTCTTGGCCCCGTATATAAAGTTTTGGTTTTCTTTTTTATTTTTTTTAATTCATCGAATGAGTTCAATAAATTAAAATAATACTATGAATTATAAAACATGGATAGTTTTTCTTTCTTTCATTAATTTGTTAAATTGATAAAAATTAAAATTTTCGTTTTTTACATAATTGAGAAGATTAATCAGACTACATCTGATTTTCTTTTTTATTTGTTCATATTATTGTTCTACTTTCAATTTTTTAAAATTCCTAATTTACTTAATTTTTTTATGTTATTACTAATTTAATGACATAATTTTTTTTCACCATACTAAATAAATTTATTTTGATATCGTATTTTATTTTATGCGTAAAAATTGATTGATATAATTTGAATTCTTATTATTTAGCTTTTTAATGTACCATGACATGTTAATTTATTTTTAAGTGAGTTTTAATTCAGGCGATTGATTTATTTATTTTTAAATAAAATTATTCATTTAATTTAACGACTTATATATGTTATAAATTTATCTTTAAATTATTTTATTTGTTATTCTCATGGTGCTTATATTGTTATTATTCTTATCTATAAATATAAATGTGTGTGTTTATAGATTTATGGATGCATCCCTAAATCTGAAAGACGAAGACTAACCTATGGCTATAAGAGAATACGAGCTAGATAACTAAAAATATTTGTTGTTTAAGACAAATTAAATTTGATTATTTTAGAATTTGAATATCTTATTAATTTTAAATTTGAGTATAGAAATAAAATTTAAACCGTCTATACGTTTCACACGTGTCGACTTCCCACTAGTTGAAAAATCCCCAATAAAAAGGGAACAATCATTATTCATTAGCATCAGGACAAAAATTGAAATGATACAAAGTAAAGTACAGATAGAAATAATTAAAAAAAAAATCTCACTCCGCAGTATTATTCTTCATATCGAATTGACAATTCTACCTCCACTCCGTCCACTTGCATCGCTCGTGGACAAATAATTCACTAGTTGTAGCGGGGTCCACAAAAATATAACTGGTGGCTACACCAGCCAACCTGAAAGACGTGACTGGTCATGATCACACACCACGAAGACTCACCGTTGAATCGAGCCGTGGGCTCCACCAACAGCTAGCCCGATTTGCTATGGACCCACTAAAGTAAGGGCAGCCAGTTGAATGTACTAGTGGCAAACTCGTTAAATTTGGAATAACTTGGGCTTTTTATAGTTTCTTACTAAAACTGCAGAAAAATCCTGCCCTTTCGCTTTCTGGAGTCGCCAGCAGGAAATGCCGAAACGCCTGTAGTTTTCTAGGAGAATGCCGTCACATTGTGAGATTGAATCTGTACCGTCAAAGTACTTTTGCGTAGCCAATCGGACGGCTATAATGGGTCCCAACTCACGTGACCATTCTTTCTACTGGGTCTACCATAGTGGAATGTCAACCGTATAGAGCCTTTCCAAGTGAGGAAAGCAAATATGTGTTTGTTAGGGCGCGTTTGGCCTTTCACATAAACTAAATAATACTTCTATTAACGGTGCGTTTTGAGGAAAATGTCCCTGAATTTTGTTGTTAGAAGTGAGAACTAAATAGCATAGGTAAATAAATTCTCATTGGACATGGAAATATTGACATTTTTCAGAATCGATAATGCAGAAATTACTTATATGTTATAAACATGATCAGAGTTCTAGAATCGCCATTTCAATTTTAAAACTTCCGATTTCGATTTTAAAACCGCTGATTCTGATTATAGAAAATGTGAAATTGGAACATAATTTTTTTAAAAACATGTTTTTTACGGTATTGAATTTGAATTATCGATTTTAATTTAAAAAAAATAAATAATTGAAACTGAATCTTAATTGCACGGTATATAAGCGTTGCATATACAAGAGAATAGTTAAATAATTTCCTTTGAGAATTATTGTATTTTTGAGATTTATTAATAATAAGGAAATTTTTTATTTATGATTTGAAAAATCGATTAGTTAATAAAGTAGACAATAAATTATATTCATTTCTCTCCATTTAATGAAAATATACATGTTAAATTCTTTAAAATTATAATATTTGATTCAATAAAAATCAAAACTTTCTATTTGCAACTGAAAGGATCATGCTACTTCAAATTAATTTACATATGCATTCGCCTCATTTTGATTTATATTTTAAAAAATAAATTAGATAAATTGAAATAGAAAAAGGGAGAATGCCCCTGCTATGTAACGCAATATTATTTCGGTTACATTTGAGCCTTCCATGTATATTAAAAAAAAGAGACCAAAAATATAAGATAAACTTATAATTATGAAAGGTTTTATTTAATAAAAGTTCTAATTATAATGGCTTTCGAATTAAAGTATTGAACAATATATTTAGTTATTTAGAATTAATCAAAATTTTCCAAAATTGTTTATATTTTTTTTTTTTGTAAATAAGTTATATGATTTGTAAAATTTAGATCGTTTAGAAATGTTAATAATGCGAAAAAAGAAAAATATTAATGTCAAAATGACCAACTTTCTTAACGTAGTTAAAAAAGAATGAAAACGGAAAAATCTATTTTAAGCTAATAACCTTCCAAAAGCATAAAATATTAGTAAAATGTTCGACCAACCAAACAAGTCCTTGCATAGCAAATAATATAAAAAAAACCATGTGCACCACAAAAGTGCTTTCTCTTAAATACGATCGACGGTAACGATTAGATCCGTACTCTTCCTCTTCCGCAATATAAATAAAAATCTTTGCTTTCGCCTTTTGCACAGTATCAGCCATTGCAGAGTGAGAGAACTCAGAGGAGTGAGAGAAAAACGATGCTTTTACGAAGCGCATCAACGCCTATTTTAAACTCATGGATCCCTTACACAAAAGAACCCTCTCCAGAGCCTGAAATCTTACATCAAACCAATAAAACTCGATCGCTTACTTTAACGGTTTATTCTTCTTCTTCTTCAAGTCCATTCTCTTCGGCTTCCATTTCTCCTCGTGATGAATCAATCAAAAAAATGACCAGAGCTCTCTCTGAAACTGATCTTAGACACCTTTCGGTGCCTAAGAAGAAACCCATCAACAAAATCATGAATGAGATCACGGTCGAAGAGGAAGAGGAAAAAAAGTTGTCGTCGGATTCTGGTTTGTCTTTGGGATCTAGTGTGTTCAATGAGGAGTGTGAGGTTTCCACGGAAGAAAATAATGGGTTGTTGGGGCTTTTGGTCGGTGGTGGTGTTGGCTGTGGCGGCGGGAAGATCTATGGCGGCACTGGCGGGAATGGTGGATCGGACGGTGGAGATAATGGAAATTCTGGGTTTTGGGATTCAAATCGTGGAAGTGATAGTACAGATATTTATTATCAGAAGATGATCGAAGCAAATCCTGTGAATTCTCTGCTTCTTAGCAATTATGCAAAGTTTTTGAAAGAGGTATATATGCAAAAGAATTTTTTTTTTTTTTTTTTTTTTTTTTTCTCCTGCGTTGATGAATCAATCGAAAATATAAGACCAAGCAGCTCTCTTCTGAAACTTGATCTTAGACCACCATATTTACGGTGCTAAGAAGAAGAGAGAAACCCATCAACAAAAATCATTGAAATGAGATACGGGTCGAAGAGGAAGAGGAGAAAATTCGTATGGTCGTCGGATTCTGGCGTTTGTGTCTTTTTGGAGAACTCTGAGTGTGTTCATATGAGCGAGTTGTGAGGTTTCCCGGAAGAAAATAATGGGTTGTGGGGCTTTTGGTCGGTTGGTGGTGTTGGCTGTTGGCGGCCGGGAAGATCTATTGGCGGCACTGGCATGGGGAATGGTGCCTTAGACTCGGACGGTGGAGATAATGGGAAAATTCTGGGTTTTGGCATTCAAAATCGTGGACAGTGATATACAGATAAATTTTATTATCAGAAGATGATCGAAGCAAATCCTGTGAATTCTCTGCTTCTTAGCAATTATGCAAAGTTTTTTTGAAAGAGGTATATATCAAAAGAAATTTTTTTTTTTTTTTTTTTTTTTTTTTTTTTTTTTTTTTTTTTGTTATTGAATTGCTTTTATGCCTGTTTGGATCATGCTGTTTTGAATTTCAAAATCTGGGAAGCTAATCTTTGTTTGATGTTTGTATCTCATCCTACGTTCGGTGTAATTGCTTTTATTCTATGTTAGCGTCTGAGAAATACTAGTTGCTTTTTATTAATATTCTTAACAACCAGAATTTTTTTATTTATTCCATAAAGTTTCTATTTTTTCCCTCTTTTTTTATCGTCTCTCTTTTTGGCTTAAAGATTTACTATTTATCAAATTGGAATTTAATGTAAAAAAATATTATCTAGTTACTAAGTCTATATTTGTTAACTTACTAATCTTACAATTGAGAAAGGCATTCCTTTTTGTGCATTAAAGATCATTTTTTGTGAGAACTATCTGATATAAGGTAATTTCTATACAATGAATTTGGAGTTTCTTGTTGTCATGTTTGGTGTGAATTGTATTCTTTGATTTGTAAGTGAATTCTTTTATATCGAACAAAGATTAACATTAACATAATTTGTGAATGGATTAATTAATCTGAGCCAATCTTGGTAGCTTTGATTTGTTACTAATATAATTCTTGTGGGATTTTGAAACAGGTCCGAGGAGATTTTTCAAAGGCTGAAGAGTACTGTAGTAGAGCAATCTTAGTAAACCCTAACGATGGAAATGTTTTATCAATGTATGCTGACTTGATATGGCAGAGCCACAAGGATGCTGCTCGTGCTGAGACATATTTTGATCAAGCTGTTAAAGCAGCTCCTGATGATTGGTAAGATCCTTTCCTGCCTTCATGCTTGTTTTTAGTTCAAACATTAGTGTTTAAACATATTTGCATAGATAATTCTAAGTTCCATAACGGACTTTATTGTTTTAAAGTTAATAATGTATAATATAATGCTTTCTGTTTTGTGGTGCAGTTTCGTGCTAGCATCTTATGCTCGGTTTCTATGGGATGCTGAAGAAGACGATGTGAGGCAACAGGTAGAGGACATGAGCAAATCGTCCCCATCAACTTTTTCCCATGGAACAACTCCTGCTTTCCCACCTTTGGCTTCTGCTTCTTAAATTTACTTCAAATCTTGTATCATAGCTGGGATATAACTTCTGACCTTTGTTCATAGAGTATTTCTTTTTTTTTTCGGCCTTCCCCTCTGTCGAGATGAGAGTTTTTCACTTGTTTAACGACTTCATCTTTTACTCTCTTTTGTTGGTCCATATCATGTAGAAAGGAAAATAAGAAATGGAATAAATTTTTATTAGAAAACTCCTGTATCTGTTTCTCATGAAATGCTTGACAGAAATCAGCTGCAATGGTATTGGCTTGTATTCACCATAAATTCTCTTGTAATGAAAGACCGTGAACCTCCATTATACTAAAGTATCCAACAATATCACTGCAATTTTATATTTTTTTGAGTCCATTGTACTTTTTATGTAGATCTATATGTTTCTTTTTCCTCCATAGATTAGCAGAGAACATATCAGATCAATTTTAGATGATGGGTCGACTTTAGATTAAAATGATTAAGATTTTTCCTTTGTTTATTCTTACATATAACTAATTTTCTATAATGAGAAAAGGATAGTTATGCAGGATACCATGAATTTCTACTGGAAATGAATTTGCTGCTGGTTTTTCTGGAAGGAATTTAGTATTTAGTATTCTCATGCTGCCTCATGAATTCTAACATTAAAGACATCAAGTTCATAACAATCAAACTCACAGTGAATTTCCAAAGTGCAGTTTCATTGTAAGATGCCCTGGTTTACATGGACATGACCTATGTTGCATGGACACCGAAATGTGGAAATGTTTAATAGAAACATTTTTGAAATGCGGAATCGCTCATGGCTGGAAGTTTCCGTGTATCATAGGATATGACAATGTCAACAGCAATTGCTCATCAGTTAGGCGGAGCCTGTCAGATTTGATTGTAGGCTTGTTAGTTATTTTTCCCCTAAAATTAGAAAAAGGCTCTATTGCCACTATTATGTGTCCTAACATAAACGCATTCTTCTTTTTCTATGGAGTATTCTTTTTGTCCTTTTATATTTCAGGTGAGGAATCGAATACTGGATATCATACAGCTATTTTATCAGGTGGGAATGGTAAGTATTAACCTCCAAATTTTCTCTGTTGTATTGGCCTTTTAAGTACCAAGAATCAGAATATTTTAAGTTAGGTTGTTGCCCAAGTTTCAATTATACTTGTATTAAAGAGCAAATCAAAATTACTTTATTAGTCCAGAAGGGATCATACCATATAGGACAGAAAATCACCAGGTCAGGAAATTGCAGACTCATATTTCTCAATTTTTAGCAATAGAAAATTTCAATTCACTACCCTGTATACTTCATCTAGGAATAGACATTAGTTATTGAATATCTAACTACGAGTTCTTGCTGTTTCAGGATCAACTAGCCATGAATAAAACCTGAGAGCTCAAAATTGCTCATACGATCCAAAACCAGCCAAGAACCGACCCACAAACTAATCCAAGTCCTAGAAACACAACCAATACTATTGCAGATAACTCGGCTTCGGAAACTGGAACTGTTTTAGGGGTGAGGATCATGATGACACTTGTCAGATAGCCATTGGTTGCTCCAAGCATAAATGTAAGTACTACAACAGGCATTTCAGTTCTCAGCCATTTAGGTCCATGTAGGCAAGCTGCAAAGAGTGGATAAAACAGAAGTCGAAGAATGCAAGCCCATGTTGCCTTATTGATGCTCTTCAGAACATAAGTTGCAGTTAAAGACTTGCCTATGAAATCTGAAACGTTATACACGGTTATCAGTAGAACTGGATACCAATCCCGCAGCAACTTGGATTCAAGGCTTTCAGCTATGAATCCAGGGAAAATTGAAAGAGTCACAACATAAATTACTAGAATTCCAAAAACTGGCCACTGGATTTTTCTTGCAACAGCCCAAAATTTTGGCCTTGAAGTTTGTGAATCATCATCTGGAAGAAGCTTGCAATGCTGTTCCATAACTGGTAACTTGTATAACAAGTTGCAACACAGAGTGCAGAACAGCAGAATAATTGTGCTAACCATAAAATAGAAGTGAGCACTTGTTCGCAGACCTTGCGGTGTCTGTGGAAGCGATGCTTTTGTTATAATCCTCAAGGCGGAGACAAGAACACCTGTGAGAAGTTAATTAGAACTAAAATTTGTATGACAGAAACTGCTTAAAAAAATTACTTCTAAAAGGCAAAAATTGTTTCCTTTGGGATGCTCTTGTTCTTTAAATTCTTTCAAACAGTAGAATTTTTTGACAAAAACAAAACTATATCAATTAACTTAGAAAAGAACAACATGCTTCATCATTTTTACAACTTTTATTGTCCTATTTCTCTGTTACTATATTCCTACTGCTTCCTTATTTGTTGAATCATAGGAGAAATGAAAAAAGGGAAAGTTGGGAACGCAGCTTGCATGTACACTTTAGTGTTGTTATATCATTAAATGGTACCTGAAGAGGCAGTTCCAGCAAACACAGCCTGCATATACTCTTTAGGAAGTTTTCCTGCTGATCCTATCAGACTTCCTCCGATTAACCCATCAGCTAAACCACAAACCACGATCGATGCAACTGTAAAACCATAAGCTCCCTTCGGTCTTCCAGCCCAGTCTAATATTGGAGCCACCATTGAAGAAAGAACAAACATGGAAAATCCCAAGTTCATTCTAATCCTGTAAGTCAGTTTCTTGCTCCAGCCACCTCTACTCATGATTATAATTAGAACTAAAACCGAGGAACTCATGTAAGCAACAGAAAACACCTTTTCAACATGTTTGTTTGGATAAAGATTGCCGAAGTAATCCACAGCAGTTATAAAAGAATTCCAAGGAAGTAAATTACCAGCTCCAAGCAAGAAATGGATTATATAAGCAATCTTGTAAGAGTCTCTTATTGGTTCTGGTTGTTCTCCAAGTCCTTTCTCAACTTCCATTTTGTCCATGGTCACAAAGCATCTAAGTGTTGCAAATTTAAGCTTGATATAAGCGGCAACAGAACATTGTGATGTGTCGACCTGTTGATTAGTTAGGCATAAAGATTAAAGAAGCTGAGCTGATGGGACAAACTCTGCCTAACTAGCTAGGCTTGCCAAGAATATGAAGCATTAAGCTCCATTTGACATTGCTGTTTGAGCAAAACATTTGAACTTGAATGTCAAACAGATTACTCGGCTAAACCGAGCTGAGTAGGGCAGTTGACAGCTCTACATGGTGTTTATATTAGATTTGATTGATGGGTTGGTTTTGGAATCAATAGAGCTAATGCAAGTAGAAAATTTTGTGCAGTGTGGGGACAATAATGGATGGGCTGAGTTAGAAGCACCTTTTAGTGTACCAAAACACATGGGTAGAGCAAAACTTGCTGGCACTGTCAAGTTTCCCAGAATATTATTTACAACTATAATTATACTAGCAGCGAAGTATGACCATAAGTACTAACAATTATTTTGGGTCCATTTGAAGTCAAATCATCAGTCTTTTCCTGAGTTTGAAGATCTTCTTGTAGATCTTTCTTATTTTTCACAAGTAAAAAATAAAAAGTATCAGTAACTCATCAAAGAGGAAAGAATCATACATGAAGGTACACCACAAAAATATCAGTATTTATTAAGCCACGCCACACATAATATGATTCCTTCTACTGTAAAAGTGTTAAAGAGAGAAAGAGATCCAAACAACAACTTACAGCAAGCTTTGACAATGCAAGATTTGATAGTTTCTTTCTTTCTTTCTATCTTTCAAGAATTTCTCCTTAAGGAAAGCTGCACTAGAGCCAAACTGGTCATATCAAGAATGATTTCTTTAGATAAGCATGCGGGACATGATTCTCCAGAAGCAATTAAATCTTCTAATAACATCGATTAAGAAATCATGTCATTACTCCAAAGAGCTTAATTATGATAATCATTCTACCCCTTTGTGACAAGTGTTCGTTCTATTCTTTTTTTCCTGATATAAATCATCAACTGGTGCAATTATTCTTTTGCTTCTCTTTCATCCTCTCAACTTTTGCTTCGCTGCTTTAGTTTTTGTGACAGTTGAACTATCCCACACCTCTCAATGTGGTAAACGTTCGAATACCAAAAAAGGGTTTACTTTTTTTCAGAAAAAAAAAAAAAATTATAAAAAGATTTTTGAAGTTGCAGTGAGCATAACTGAGAAGAAGATGGTGATGAATACGTGTGTATATATATATATATATTAATATATGAAGTTATTGGGTTAAGGGGTTATGATTGTTTTGTCCATTTAGAACTTCAAAGTCAATGATGGAGGATGGCTATAACTATATAACAATTAATATAAGTCAGTGCTAATCTATATTGTAGTTGGCCTGGCCATCCACCACAATTGTTTTCAGAGGAAAATGTGAAGTTTTGTTTTGGCTTAAGTCATTGATTGGAGTAGTTGTTTTGTTCTTTAACAATCTGCATACATATTAGTGTGTCGTTAGTTATCAATAGTATAGTCTAGTGCTAAGTGTATTACGATCCGATAACAAATTCAGTTCGAATTCTCTTTTTCAATACTAATATATATAAAGTCATTATTGGAGTAGTTGTTTTGTTCTTGTAAACAAATCTGCATACATATTAGTGTGTCGTTAAGTTATCAATGAGTATAGTCTTAGTGCTTAAGTGATATTAACGAATCCGATTAACAAATTCAGTTTCGAATTCTCTTTCAATACTTAATATATATTATATTATATATTAATAATATATATATAATATATCACAAGATTTATAAAAATTTGGACTAAGTGATTGAGGATTTAACTAGAAAATTTCAAATCGATAATAGATAATAGCTTTTTCATTTCGACTTATAATTGGAGAATATATTCACAAGATTTATTTGACTAAGTGATTGGAGGATTTAAACTAGAAATTCAAATGATAATAGATAATAGCTTTTTCATTCGACTTATAATTGGAGATTATGAGTTCGATTTGCAGAAATATGTAAAAATATATAGAGAAAAAACCAAGTATATCAACCCTTTTTAGAGCTCATTAACCTGAAATGCTTCATATACTAAATCATCCTTTTTAACCATGATCTTTTTTGGATACATAGGAGGGAAAAAACCTAAAAAAAGAAACTAAATTGTAAGACGTCTTACACACGGTCAAGCCATCCTTCAATGTCCTATCGCATGAATGGCACCACCTCAGAAGGAGGAAGATCACCAATATGACGGCCAATATCACCATCCACGGCCAAATTGGCTAACATATCAACAACTCTATTTGCTTCCATGTAGCAAATGTTGAATATGGACATTCCAATCTCGAACTAAGATTGAAAATTTTTTTTCTGAAAAAAAATTTACTTTACATCCTGTCAAAACTATCATTTTAAAACATTATTTAATTACTGAAGATTTCCAATTAAATTATCTTTAGAAATATTTTTTTTAATTAATCAGATAGATAATCTTCAATCCATTGAACTATATTAAATTTTATTTGCGCATCGTTAACGTTCTTAATGTTATTTGTTTCATCTATTAGAACGAGACTATACTAAATCACTCATCCCAACACCCGTTTCAGAGTGGCTTATAAATTAAGAAATAACAAATCCAATAATAAAAATGAACATCATAGCTCTACTGAACTTTTGAAACTTGGGCTAGCCTCGGAGTGATCATTGAGTAGTTTTCTTGACAATCCCTATATAATTACTGATATAATATATAATATGACAACCTAATCATTGTATTGCTGCCTAATTACTATATAATCAGAATAGAATAAGATGAGTGAACTAAAACTTATAATAACATAGTGATCAAAGAAAGATTAAGCCTTTTCATTTGTGTAGGGAGAAAGTAGAAATTATTAAAGCTATGGGGTGACAAAATTGAATTTTTTTATAATAATATTATCAATTTAATAACTCCTAATTCTTCCACCTTTTCAAAAGCTGCCTAACATCAACTAGCTACCACTCTAATCCTTTCCTTGCCAAACTGAGATTCCATGGTGTACAATTGAGCTCTCCAAACACAAAAGCTTGCCACTCGAAGAACAAGAAGCAAGATAGTAAATTATAAATGTGTAAATAATTTCATTTAGTAATCCTTAATTTCAATTTTTTTTAAAAGTTAATTATCGAAAATGGTACAATCTCATTCTATTAAGGTAGTATTTTTTTTTTTTAAATTTTTTTGCAGGAAGTCCAATGAATAAGAATATCTTTGTGGGCTACACAAGAGCAAGAGAGGGCAACTCTTTGTAAATGAATAACATTCACCAAATTGGTGGAGATGACTCGAATTTAAGATCTTTGGATCTATACATCTTCTGCAAGAAGTAAGAAGTCAAGCAGACCACACTTGATTGACGAATTTTTATTAAAAGTAATTTCTTTTACATTTATGGAGTTATTTGTTGTTGCTTATTATGATATTTTGATTTTAAAATTTTGATTTTGATTTTTTTAATTTTCACAAGTGATCTAATAGCGATGAGCATCAAGGCTAACTTAGGGTCTCCAACTGGTTATGGTCTACATGTCAAAACATAAAAACCTAATGAAAGTAAAACCCCCAAAATTTTAATCCCTAGACGGCTAGACCCAAAACCGAAAGAAGCGAAATCCAGAAACCGACAACGGTCAAAGAAGCGCGCTTTCCTTATAAAAACACTGACGTCGTTTGTGCTTGTGATTGTGTGCGTGGTCAATACTGGTTAGTGACTGACTGACGACATGGAGAAGAAACATGCTGAAACGACATCGTACGAAAGAGGTGCCGGTGGAAAGCTGCGCAAACCGCCGCGTAGACCACCGTCCACTCCCTACGCCCGTCCTCCACAGAACCAGACACAGCGCGGTGGCCGTTGGCTCTCCAGGCTTGTTGATCCTGCTTTCCGTCTTATAGCTGGCGGCGCCAACCTAATCTTGCCTTCGTTTTTCTCCAAATCGCAATCCGTATATACCCTACCTGCTCCCACGGGTCAAGAAAACGATCATGGCGGTTAGTTGCAAACTAAAACTACCCCTATGGACTTTCTCTTATCTATAGAGTCTATTGTGTGATTGATTTTAGGGTTTTTTTATTTGTAATTTTGTAGTACATTAGCCTGACCGTTTTATAATGTCTTCAGTAATATAGGTTTCATGAGTAGACCTGTAAAAACAAGTCATGGTTCTCAGTTATGCGACATTTGTTACTCATGTCATTGTCGGTTGTAGTTAAATGTTTGAGCTTTTGAATGATTTCATTTAATGCTTGATTCGTGTTTGAATGCTATTGATTCATTCTTTTGCTGTCCGTTTAATTTAGTAGGGGAGACAGAAACCTGGCACGCGGCAGTGGGACAAAATGCTGCTGCTGGTGAAGACGATGATAAGAATTTCACTTCGAATGTAAGGCTTTCACTGTATCCCCTAAAATCTCCGCTATGCCAACATTTAGTCTCTCTTTATTGCCATGCATCATAGACTTTCTTTGTTTGAGTGGCTAAGTTCACTAGTGCAACCAATGAGAAACTTGAGGAAAATAATGATATAGTAATAATTAAACATATTTTGTTTTGATTAAAAAACCCAAAAAAAATATTTGATTAAAGAGCTTCAATCTCAATTGGCCCCCCCTATGTCGAAATTTCACAATCTTGTTACTGAGTCCACATTTAAACTTGCAATTACTTGAAACTTTTGTTAACTGAAGATGGCCAGAACGTTCTCATTGCTGTCAAAAGATTTGAGACTTGCATTTGAGGCTTATGATCTATTACACAGCTGAAGTGAGTTACTTATCTTGTTTTTTATATGCTGTATTTGGATGCATAATGCATACTTGTTTCAAATTCATTTATCTGGATCCTTTATTTTTCTGTACTTTGGCTCAATGGTCTACAAGTGTCTTTTGCTTCTTTAAGTGCAGAAAATACTTTCTAGCCTTTACATGTTGTTCTTGCCCTTGAAATACTCGTTTCAAACTTATTTTCATGGATCTATGATGCTATATTTGCTCTTTCATGTGTAATTTTATTGTGTTTTGTTTGATGTTTGAATAATAATAATGCACAATTGTAATGGTTTCTCAGGAGTTGAAATATATGTTTGTTTTTAGTTCTTTGTTTGCTCTATGAAGTCAAATCCATATTATATGCTCTATTTTACTTGGAAGCATTTACTAAAATATTGCCTTGTTTGATCGGCACATCTGGGATCGATTGTAAGAAAAAGAGTTATCTCACTATGTAAACTATCATGGGCTGTACCAGTTGCGTTTTTCTATGGATGAAATGTCCTGACAGTAGGGAATTATTGATATGCAGCATGTGGAACCAAGAGCAACTGAAGTAGCTGGTACTAGCAGCGTATTGGATAGAACAATTAGACATTCTGAGTTTAATGGGCATGAAGTTAACAAAAAAGTAGATGTGGCTGATCCCAATGGGCTCTCTGAGATTGAGATACTGATGAAGGATAAAAGATTTTCAAGGTATATTTGCTTTTTTTGAAAAACAAACGTGCTTATTGTATATTTTTCATTTGTTGTTGTGAAACTATGGGCTTTTTGCAACACATTTGCCCTACAATGCCTATGAACTAATTTGGAAGTTGGTACCTTGAATTTATTGTGAAAATTGCCCCATAAATTTTCTCCACCTCTATGCAGGGATGAAGTTAACCGTCTAATAGAGCTAATAAAGTCAAGGGCTGTTGATCTTCCTGATGTTGAGCAAGAAAACAAAAACTTAAGCACAAGTGGTGGAGATCTTAGAGAGCCTGCTGTTGCCCTTGAATATTCAGGGAAAGCAACTGGTGCAAGGCAAGAAGAATTGAATAGAGCTATTTGGGAAACCTCACAAACTGGAGACAGAAAACATTCAAGTGCTATTTTAACAGATGCTGAAAGGCCTGCAAATACCCTTGAAAATTCAATAAAGTCCAAAGGAGAAAAACTTGAAGATCTGGATAGAATTATTTGGAAAACCTCAACTCCTCTTCTCCAGTCAAAAGTAAGTAGGATAATGACCGTAGGCAACTGAATTTCACTTTGACATGTGTCCTCAGAATCAGCTTTGATATTCATATTAGCTTATACGCAGCTCTTGTTTGACTCAATTCGTGTCCTAGGGCACGTATTAACCGCTGGAATTTTCATATCTTGGAAAATATTTGCAAAAGCATCATTTTCGTATATGCAATATATCAATATTTGATCTTCTTTGTTGCTTAATATATTTAATGTGCAAAAAAAGTCATTCCAGCATTAAAGTAGTAATCCTGGACATAGGGAAACAGAACAAATGAAATAGTAAAATTTGAAAACCCAAAAAAAAAATGAAGAATCATGTGGAAAACCAGCTTTGTTTCTAATTATGTTGATTAAAGATGAAATCCTAATTTCTAATATCTTTTTCCTTTCTTTCCTTTTTGGGAATTTAGCTACTGAAAAATGGTTAATGGTTGAGGTGTATCATTGTTTTTGAGAAGTGTGTTGGGATTCGGTGTTTTTCTGTTTCTTGTTCTCATATTCATAGTTTTATAACTTTTTGTGATTTGACAGGTACAAGATGATGTTGGCACTTCCCCTCTTGAAATTGCAAGAGCATATATGGAAAATCGAATATCAGACATAGGCTTTGGTAGTGACAGCTTAATAGCAAAAGATGAAGGAACATTACCATGTAGAGATGATCTTGCACTTAAACCCTTTGTTCCATCACCTGCCCCTAAGTCATCTCCATGCTGGCCTGGTGCCTTGGTACAGGATCAGCGTGGTTATATGACCCCACAAAGTCAAAGAGGAAGATTTGGGCTTCACAATTTTCCCCGAACTCCTTATTCTAGAACTATTTATTCAAAGACTAAGTCCAAGGTATGTGGCATTATGGATTTGTCTTTATGCTAATGATGCTGTAACCTGATTTATCGCACACATGATTACCTTTTTTTTTTTCCCCTTTCTGTCTTATCAGTTGATTCAGTTACAGAGCAATACTGATAGGCAACAAAACACAATAGCAACTCCTTTTCAACAGACTCAAACTCCAGCATTTGGACAGGTAATTTTTCCATATTGCTAAAATTTTTTGTTACGATGATGGTGTGGCTTATCTCTATGATACACCACCTTGATTTTGAAAATATTTTGAAATTGTATTAATTGCACCTTGCTTGGTGCCTTGGCTGGTAAATTTTAAGATTTATAGGATGAAGCTCTCTATCTGGGTGTGTGAACAACTGAGAACACACTTGTGTAGCTTGTTTTTGTAATGATTCTGGTTTTGTTAATGTCCCTAAGTTATGCTTGCTTAACATTCTATGGTTGATCTGTTTTAAGACTCACCACTGAAACTCGAGGGAGATTTCAGATGGACTGGTAGTACAAAATTGCAGCTGCTATACATTTTAGATAGTTTTTGTTACAGAAATTTTCTTTTTCTAATTATTGAATTCCAACAGTGCGGTTGCATGAGGAAATTCTGAACAAGTAATATGAGCAAATAATTATATATTTAAGAAGTTGGTTTGCATACAAAACATGATAGATTAACTTTTCATTGCTGTTGATTTAAAAAAATAAACTTTTGTCAATGAATTTTTTGCTATTCTCCTTAATTTATTAATATTTGTTTGAGTGCATAGGTAAATGCAAGGGGCAATACCTTATACGATGGTCATGGATCTGCAGGACCCATTCGTAGAATACGGCATAAAGTTAATGCACAGACTCCTAGAGGATTTGCATATTCTCATACATCTTTAAACAATCCTCAGGTGGAGAACTTCATCATTTCAGATGGCTTATTTTCTACTTCAAAAAGAAATTTGGAAAATGGTGGAACAAATAGCTCTGCAAAATTTCAGTCAGTGGGTGGTAAACAGCAAAGCTCTGAAGTCATTACCCCAGCTGTCCCTGCACACTCTAGTCTGGTGGCTCGTAAAATATTAGAGCACCTTGAGAGAAATCCACCTACTCCTAAGGACAAATCTGCTGAGTTGAGGTTAGCCACTTCATGGAAGAAACCTCAGCCCTCTGATCATACTCCTACCATGCCCAACAAACTTAATAGCCTAACCCATTTGAGAAGTGCTGATTCTTCTGAGAAATCTGTTCAAGTTAATAGAAATAAGCCTCTGCTCTCCCCTGATGATGTTAATGTTGTTTTAAATAACAATAATTCAGCTTCAAACATAAATGTTGGTACAGCTCCAACACATATTGGCTATGCAGAACCTTCACAAGATTTCAAGAAGTCCCAGGATTCTCAATTCATGAATTCGTACAAGGTAGTTATTTATGGACAATTACTTTGATGCAAATTTCTTTCTTTTTCTTTTGTACGATTGACTGCTCTCTGGGCATAAAGACAGGATTGATTCCTAAGGTGCCTTGGAGCTTCAACAATCTTGAAGCTTTGAAGCAGAAGGTAGTGTCATCATTGGTGCTTATTCTGTTTATGGCAAATGGAGCTGTGACATGCTCTTTTTGGATACATGGATTTGACCTTGGGGCTGGTGCCTCTGGGTTTGTGACCAATGAGTATTATATCATGTTACTGAATTCATCCAGGGCAAAGCCTCAAGCAAACCCTTTAATACATGCAAAGCTACATGCATGTATTAATTGTGATAATAGCTTCATTTTTCAACTGCTGCAGCTAGTGATCATTAATTTACTAGAGAGCAAATTGAACAAAATTGATAGTAGGGCAGGAGTAGTGATGTGGGATTTAAAGGGAAGAGCTTGATTGGTTGAAGGATTATTGTGTGGTGGAATCCAGGAACCAGCCTAAAAGATAAAAGACAGATATGTTTGAACTCGGTTGGACAAAAAAAAAAAAAAGATTTAGGATTTAGGATTGTTTATACAGAAACATACTACTGCTATCCTAGAGTATTGAGATTTAGGATTTACCCTATCAAGGAAGTCTTCAATTACTAGGATTACATTTGCATAAATACTGAAATTCAGACTACAGGAAACAAAGAATTCCGAGCACATGCAGAGACCTAAATTACCCTTTAGCCTATAACTTCGAACTCCAAATTATTTTATGACTCGAGTTTATAAGACTATAAGAGGATTTTTAATACTAATAATGAATTCATAAATAACTACCTAAGCAAGGAAATAGTAAATAGAAACGAATTCCTCCCTAGGAAAACATTATAGTAATATCCTTTTCTGTTTAAACCTTATATATTCTTCAATTCTTTTCTGTTATCTGCATTGAAGAGTATGTTGCATTCTAGACAAGTACACACACCAGGTTCTTGGAGGACTTTTGGATGTTCTTGAACTGTGTTCCTAATGCATCAATGTACAGGATGTTTCGGATTCAAAGGCCATTCCCAATGCTGCTGATGGCTCCAGTGTATTCAATTTACAAAAGAAGCTTCCACCTCAAACTTCTGGTACAAAGCCAGTGTTGCCTTCTATTTCTATTAATAAGCCTAACCAAAGATGGACAGTTACTTCTGATAATAGCTTGGGATTTACATTCCCAGTTTCTGCATCTGCTGGTGTGTCATCTGAACCACCGACGCCATCCATCCTGCCATCATCATCATCCATTGGTCTCAATCAACAGAACGAGGAATCATCAATCCCTTCGTACAGTTTTGGCTTGAAGAGGTCTACCCCTGGTCTTGTATTTTCATTCCCTTCATCAAGCACTGCCCCTATAAATGATGATACATCAGACCTGAAGTTCAATTTTGGATCGGATGAGACAAAGAGGTTATCTTTCAGTTCAATAGGTCAAGATGCTATCTGCTATTAAGTGAAAGGATGACATTTCAAGGATATTCATATTCTTTTTCCTGTTCTTAACTTTGTACTATAACAATTAGAACACGGGGGTTTCTTTTTTTAGTTTGTAAGTTGTATATGTTACGCCCTCTGCATTATTGTTCCTTTGAGAGTACGCAGACAGGGAACAAAGGAAAGGGTAGTGTGAAGCAAAGCTTAGGACTCGTAAAGAATGGATGAAGATCATTTCAAATCCTAGAAGTACTTTTTCTATTCTTTTTCAAGTATGTCTTTATTCTTTCACTATCTTTACTTTAATGTGGAGGGTTGTTCTCTGGAATGTGAGCGAGTCTAATCATCTAACTCAACTATACAGTCCTAGTTATTCACATATCCACAAACGCTACCGTTTTAAACTGTAATGGGCTACGCTGTTCCATAGTTAGCCTCCTTTGGCCCAAAAAGTTAGGAAGTAGTTACAGTAATGGAACTTAGTTGCTTGAATGGAAGATTTATAGATTTTGGAGAGACAACAATGGGGCAGTGGTGGACCACATGTTTGGATGATTTGCAAAAAATTGTGGTCACTGAAAGAAGAACATGATACCACAGGAATCACATTTTGCTCCCATTTTCATTACAACATGAACTTACCATTTCAGCTTAGCTAGTTTGCCACTTTGTGGACCTTTTCTCTTTTCCATTACCAAATTGCATCATTTCTATTTTTCTTTTTCTTTTTGGGTAAATTTTTTCTCCTCTTTATGAGATATTTAAGATTCTTTTATTCAACATATATTAATGCTCGACTTACCCACCTTTATTTGTTGGATGTGTATGTTCTACTTACTTACACTTTATATTTTAATATGACTCATTAAATTCTTCAACTAATAAAATTACATTTATTAAATTTAAATTTCACCTATCGAATGTAATTTTATACATTTTCAAATTATTAGATATATATTTAATAGGTATAATGTGTTATGCATCTATTGACACAAATTATTAAATAATTCATATTTTTTATTCATTCAATAAAATATTTAATAAGTACAATTTTATAAGGTAAAATGTCAATAAATTTAATTTATGGACCGAAATATTTCGTACATGTAATTTTATAAGTTAAAAGATTTAATATATTAATATAAAAATTAAAACTTAAAACACCACTAGATTTTTTCCCTTAACACTATGTTTGAAAAAGAGAAGAAAGAAAATGAGGGAGGAATGAAAATAAGGATGAAAAATAAAGAATGATTCTACTGTTCATCTTCTATCCTTACTTTCCATTTTATTTTTAGATTGGAAGGAAAATAAATGGGAGGATGAAAAATAAATGGGTTTGGAAGGAAAATAAAAAATACGTTATTAAATTTTTTATCCTCCCATTTATTTTCCTTCCCATGTTTCATGTGAGTGGTAAAATTATAGAAATCATAGGACTCTAGAGATAGAGATGATATTTTGAGTATAATTTTTTTTTTTTTTAGTTAAAAGAGTAGATGATTTACATGTATAAAAATAACTTTCATTCCTCCCTAATTTTACATCAGCTTTCCAAACAAGAGAAAGTTACAATCCGTCATTATTTTTCACTCACGTTTCTTTCCTCCCTCCTTCCCAAACAGAGTGTAAAGAAATCTTGAAAGTTGAAAAAAAAAAAAATGGAGAGGAGAGAGAGAAGTGGGTGCAAACTCCAAAGTAGAGATAAGTTGGAAAAGAGAGAGCGGAAGGTAAGGGAGTTGTGTTGGAGCAAATATGCAAAGAGAGAAAGTCAGAGGTGAAATGACAACCAAATGAAATTAATGCATTTCACGGACATGAATTTGACGTTTCAGATTCTAATTGTCAGAATTGCCTCTGACACACCTCTCCCTTCTCATCTCACCCACCACCACTCTTTACTATTTTTCCTTTTCTTATCTTAAAATTTTCATTTTCATTTATTAATTTATGTAAATTTGTAGGTAGCAGAAAATACATTTTGCCAGCTTGTAAATGCACTTCCAGATCCCAAGGTCTTTCAATCATTACTCTCTTCTCTTCTGTTCCTGCGATTTCATGTTATCTATTATTCAATCTTTGCTTACTAGTTACTTTCCAAATTTTTTAAAATAACTTATATGCAAACACTTGGATTGAAGGTGGTAATCAAATAAGATTTTCTAACAAAAACAATTCTAAAATTTTAAATCTATGACTTTTTATAAATAAAGTCTCGCGTTCGGTTTGTTTTCGCTGATTTAACTATATATTGATTAAGTTAAAATTATTCTTTAATTATATATAAAATAATTTTACATGTTTTCCTTCTTTTGCTTTTAAGGGTTTATTCTACAATTTTATCTGTTTCAATAGCTATCAATTGATTTACTAGTGATTAATTATTAGACATTAACTGTTAATGGTTAGCTGTTTATATAATGATTTATAATAAAAGTGGTTAGCAATTTTTGATTAGCTTTTTAGTATAATACGATAAAAGAAAAAAGATATGAAAGCGGAAAATAAGGTAAAGACAAGTGATGTATATTATGTGCCATAAAAAAATTATAAAACACTAAATATTAATGAAGATAACGTTTTATGAAATATTATATATTTTAACTCTATCAAAACAGTACACACTACTTCAAACACTGCTAGTGAATCGGCCTAAATTAAGAGAAAAAAAAAACAATTATTGTATTTTACTTATCGTTTTAATAATTAACACTTTTTGTTTTTATTTTTATTTTTTTTCCTTTTTATTATGTCAAGGGATTTCAGTCTATATATGAACATGGACGAACTATAATTACATCTATAATTGTACGATGTAATTCAAGAAACCTGTAAATATTGTTTTTTTTTTTTTTTTAAATTTTCTGTGACAGTAACAGTAAACTTTGACCATTTAATTATCAACTCAGTCAATAGTCCAATGAAGAGAATTGAAAAAATCTGAAAAAGTTTTTGGTGTATCTTTATACATTTATATATCTAAGCTAAGGAGTGAGGAGTCTGGCAGAAGGCAAATTGGCAATGGTGGTCCATCTTTAAATTATTTTCCAAAGACTGGATTATGTGTGGTAGACAGACAAACTCTTTTCTTAGATATCTATCTACTTTTGAAAGAGAAAGTAAACATTTTTTTAAAAAAATATATTTATATATTTCTATTCATTCAAAAAATATATCAGTTGAAATGGTAAAATGCTCATACAAAAAGCTCTCTTAGCTTTTTATATGCAGCTTTCTCAGTTCATACAGAGGTATCTTGCATCTCTCTCTCTCCCTATAATACATGTTCCAAGGAAATTCTACTATGAACCACAATCCTTACTAGCTAGCTACGTATTTTTTTGTATTTGTACTTCCTCATACATTATTATATGTTAGCAGATGCCACCTGACATCAAAATAAAAAATAAATAGCAGACTATATACTGTACAAAAAGCTGTAAAATTAGACAACACAGATGCAATTTTTGCATGTTTCTTAACATACAGAAGGTTTTCAGTGATAGGAAGAAAGTGACTATTGAATGATAAGAGTACTTTAAGAAGCTTCACCATAAATATTTGCACTTAACAGTTTCTTCTTCATGGTCAAATATCCAATTCAACAGTTAATTTTTCATGGTCATATATATTTTATTATATGCTTATAGAGAGAAGGAAATTTATTACCTCCATATTAATAATTTTTTGTTTTGTCATACAATAATTCTTTTTCTTTCCCAAAATCCATTGCTAGCTCCTATGAGAAATTCTTTTATTTTGATTAACATTGAGGACTTTACTTGTTTTAAATTAAACCATTTTGAAAATTATCTTTTGTTTGAAATAAATGAACAAGATTCAAATAAATTTCATAAAATAATATTTAAATTAAATCTTCTGTTACTTAGATAGAATCCCTCCTTTTGAATTTGTAATTTTACTAATTTATTATATCATTGTCAGTTTAAAATTCAGGTACAAATTGATAAAAATTACGTATAACTTATTCTTTGAATAAAAAAATGTAGAATCCTATATGAACTTACTTGTGCATACCACATGATCAATGTCCTCTGAGATGTGCAATTTAATTATATGAAGATGATTTCTAAAAATTTAATTATATCATTTATAAAGAAATTGTATAATTTGAATTCATCCACATCAAATGAGAGTAAGAAGAAAGTAGAACATCCCAGCCTGTCGTAAGTATTGCCTAATTTGAGAGCCTTGATGGGTCATTCCCACACTTTCTTTTCGAGCAGAGCCTTATTGCATCATAAGGGGAGAACCTATAGAAGCTCCCAATGCGAACAATATCATGTGACAGGCTAGTATGTAATAAAAAGGATTGAAAACTTGCACAAAAAATAGATAAAAATAGTACATTGAAATTTTATTTTAGCCTTATCTTTCACTTGGAAACTTGAGGATTCATAATTTCACATAGAAGATGACAAACTAAGGAAGTAGGCTTAGTTCAAGTCAAGTAAAATAGCATCAGCTGATACAGCTTGTGACAAATACATTGAAGATGAAAGATATAAATATATATATATATAAAGAGAGATATTCATCATGTCGTTGAAACATATTAAGATTGAAGTCAACAATTTCTTTACTTCGTCAAAGAGCATGGACTTCTTAATTCCATGAAATTATCTTGAAAAATCAAATCCATCATTTGTTGTACAGTGCAGCCCTTGACTTTAGGTGCTTCTCAGAGGCCTACACAGAAGTGTCAACTTCAAAATAAGTAATTATAAGAATAGCAATTGAAGAAGTTCAACTCTCTATAAAAATATAGAAACATTCTTACTTCGGGATCAAAATCTACTACATTTCAATTCTAAATACCAATAGAGTAATTTCTATGGCTAGCAACTTACAGTTAATTATAGTTATAAGAAAGGGAGAAAATAAATAGATAATATGTGGTTATATTTATTTAAAATAAAGAACTTACATCATCCAGCTGAGCTTGATTGTTGGTCTCCAGCATCAACCCAAAATGAATGTGAGGGTAATGTGCCCACTAAAACATAAAATTTTCTGGTCAATACCCATAATTTTAAATCTTGAAGTGATATATATTTTGGAATTTTTGCAAAAATCTTAATATATATAAAACTTTTCCACTTACATTTTTGGCAGCAGTACTGAATGCTTCTCTATGGCTGATGTCTGGATTATTTGCTTTGATCCTCTGAATCTCCTCTCTATATATTACAAGATTCAACGTATTAGATTATATAAATATAAATAAATTGAATAAAAGAAATCATAGCAATGAATAAAGGTGAAATTTCAGGAGACTGTTGTTTTTACAGTACTTTATGAACTGGTTATATGCAGAAGGTATTCGCTGCCTCTTCTCGGGAGCTGAAACCGAAAACAACAGCACATAAGATTATATATTTACATAATCTACAATAAATAAAAAATAAAAAAAATCTATATCAAGGTCCAAAAATGAAAGCAAGAACAAAAAAACATTATTGTAAAATAAATTATATATACATAGAAATATATAGCAAATAAAAATCAAGTGCCTTATCAAGATTCAACAAGAAATGAATATACAGGGAAAAGAAAGAACAAAAAATATATACATATACATATAAGGAGGAAAGAAACTCACGTCGATTAACAACCCTTTCTTCAGAGGCATGAGAAGCTGGGGATCGCATTGAGATCTTGTTATTATGCTTTGATGAAGATCCCAATTCAATTCTGTAATCTGGCAAGCTGTAGCTTGGTGCCTGAAAAAAAAAAAAACATATATGCATGGAACTGGGGCATCGCATTGAGATACTTTGTTATTTATTGCTTTGATGAAGATCCCAATTCATTCTGTAATCTAGGGCAATGCTGTAGAGCTTCCGGTGCTGAAAAAAAAAAAAATATATATATATAATATATATTATATAATAAATTTAGAAATATATTTAAAGAAAAATTTGAAATTCTTTCTGTGTGCTTTTTCAATGGCTCAAGTACAACAATTTCCTCTTTTGATATATAATTTAGAAAACAATAAAGAAAAATTTGAAATTTCTTTCTGTGTGCTTTTATCAATGAGCTCAAGTACAAACTTTCCTCTTTGCTTTGATATGTTATAGCCTCAGAGAACTGACAATTATAGTGAGCAGAGAGAGAGAGAGAGAGAGAGAGAGTGGATACTTTATGATATATATATGGAGATGGAGCCAGAGAGGGAGAGAAAAGGCAACAGCTTTGAAATGACTGAATCAGTTAGAATTATATTGTATTGTATTACATACATATATAAGAAACAAAGCAAATAAAACCCAGATTGACAGCTGGTGAAATGAAAGCTTTTAAGGATCTTACTTTTTTATTCTTGAATAATTAGCAGTAGACAAGACAAAGCTTCTCATGAAAAGAGATCGTTAAACATATTAAAGAACCCTAATTTATATATATATTTATCTATCAAATCGTAAATCTTTAATATAAAGTGGCTCAAGAAAGAAAAGAAACCCTAAACACTGCTATATTAGGCCCTGACTGCTATGGCCGCAAAAATCAGCCCACTCTCTACAAAAAGAAGTAAAAATAGGTTTTGGTAATGGCGGCTGCTAGCTAGGAGGTTTCTTGCTTTCCTTTTTTTTTTTTCTTCTTTTTCTTTTTTTGAATTACTGTTCTCGATCTTTCTTTACAGACCGATTTAAGAAATGTAAAGAACCCAGAAACCCTAGAGTTTATATTAGTTTATGTATAGTAGTAAACATCACCTGAACATCTTGCCATGAAAGTGACTGAAAGGCAGCGGCCATGTTCACTGACCATAGATTAGTGCAGTGACCACATCGGACGGTCACGATGTCAAACAAGCTACTGCATGGAACACTCACCTGCGCAGTAACTCCATTAATATACATACAATCAAGTCTAAAATCAAGAAACCGACTATATATAAACCCAAATCGTAAATTCTTTAATTAAATGTTAGGACTCTCTAGAAATTCCATTTTTTTGGGGTAATTAGGTTACTACTGTTTCTGAACAAACTCACAACCTCAAAGTTCTCAAGGCAAGTTTAGTATTACTAAGCTTGTGATTTTGTTGAATTCTTTCAGTTCATCTAATTGTAATGACAATAATAATAAAAAGAAGGAAAGTACTTTGTTCAAATTCCATTTTTTTGGTTAATTAATTAGATTTCACTTGGAAATCACAAAGATTTTCTTGAAATACTCTCAGTCGATCTAACAAAATTCATAGAATGAAGAAGAAGAATAGGAAATTGAGATCAAAAGCGAGAATTAGAATCATTATTCCTTGAAGAAAAGATATAGAATTAAAATGAAGACTGGGATTTTCTGTTTAATTATCTTCTTGGGTTGGATGTTCTTTCAAGAATTAATTGCTGAGACTGAGATCTTCATTTTGTTTTCCCCATTAGGTAAAGGAACTTGGTCTTTGAGGAGCACTTTTTATGGTGCAGAATGTTTGATAGCTAGGCAAAGGGAAGGGAAGCCACACACAGAGTGAGAAAGAAATAAAGGGAAATCAAGAGGAGAAGGAGCTGTCTTCATCAATTTAATCGCTAATGCTAATTTTGACGTCCAAAAATCTCTCTATTCACCAAAATAACACAAAATATAGAACTCAAAATAATCTCTCTTTCTCCCTATCTCTCACTCATTCAGCGGTTTGTGTATAGGAGCAATAGGGGAGGACCTTCAGGTCTGACTTTTCTTTGACTGCAAAAGAAAGAAGAAAAAGAAAAGTCCAACGATGGAGACTTGACTGTAACAAAAACAAGAAAACCCAGAAATTAAAAAAAAAAAAAAAGATTAAGTCAATTTAATCTTTTTTTTTTCTCTGCTAAATATAGCACGAGAGTCTGAGGAGATCAGAAGACACCGCAGACTATCTTTTATCAGGATCTAATAACTTTCTTTATTTCTTGTAAGAGAGAAAACAAAACAGAAACAAAAACCAGAAGCCCAAAAGATAAGAGATCCCATTGAAGAAAAAAATACGTATATGTAGACATATATATGTACCGCAAGAACAATATTGCAAAAGTTGCAAGGGATGTAGCAGAGTTGCTCAGGCACAGCATCGACGCAGCTCGACATGTTCTTCTTTAAGGCAAAAAACCCAATTGATTAAAGAATTGAACAAGAACAAGAACAAGAAAGTAGAAGATAAGTAGAAGAAGAAAAAGAAGAAGGGTTTTCTTGCAAAATGAAGAGAAGCACAAAGGAGAAGGCAAAGCAATAAGAGCTTTTATTCTCTCAAAAATTGCTTTGATACCTGGCTATAAATTAAATTGTATCACAACAGTAAACTCTGTATGGCCCATATATATAGATGGAGAGAGAAATCCAGAGAAAGAGAGAGTTAAAGACAATAGGATATATCATTTAGGCCTTAGAGAGGAGGAAAAAAAGGTTAGGTTTAGTGGTGCTCAAGACAGGCAGTCAAAATTGCTGGGACAGTGAAAGAGAAAAAAAAGTAAGTTTTTTCAGGTTAAAGTAAAAAAGAAAAGTTTAAGATTATTAGGGTTTTTAAGGTGTGAAGAGGATAGCTATCTTTTTGACAGAAGTATATATAATCTTTTCTTTTTTTTTTTTTTCTTTTTTTGATCGGCAAGATGAAGTATATATAATCTATATATATACATATATATTACCATATAACTCTCTCTCTCTCTCTCTCTCTCTGTGTCCGGATTGAACTTTGTAGATATGATGATGATGAAGTGAGTGCGACCACTCTCTCCTTCATTTCTGCTTCTCCACAGCGGACGAGGGGGGCGAAAATTTTTCAATTCCTCTGATCATTTTTATTTATTATTAGTATTATTATTATTATTTTCATTGCTGTCCTTCTAGCTTTGCAAATTGTTATTTGTTTTTTTGGACAAAATTAATTCCCAATCAATTGTCATTTCTTGGTTCTACTACTGGACCGAAGATCTTCGAGTCTTATTACAGTACCGAAAAATTAGATTCGGTTCATTGAGAGTTTTCCAATTTGAATTGTAATTTAAAAAAAAAATTAACAAAAAAAAATTTACATTTGATGTCGTTTTGTTTTTGACACATTTATTTTGTGCAATGTTTTCATGTAAAGTTTTAAAAATTTATAATTATTCCATGAATTTATGAATTTTTTTAGCATAAATTGATTGTCTGTTTCTCGATTTGTGCGTGTCATCAATAAACAATTTTGGATTATTGATTTTGCTTAAGGTTTGAAGTTTAGAAGGACTTCCTTCTCTATAGTTATTGAATACAATTCTCTTTAGATTCAAAAGATTTAGTGCTTCTTCTCATCTCAAGAAATATCTATTGCTATATTTCTCCTTGTTTTGTGGTTTAATTTGTATTTTGATTGGATTCTAATTTTTATTTTGTTGTTACGATAAACTTGTTATGATGTATTTTAACAATTTTTTTTTTCTTCGTATAATTAAGTTAGTTTGAGATATATTTGGAGAGTCTGTTAGCTTGAATTTAATTCTAAATTATATTAAGTTTTCCCGGACTATATTAATAAAATAAAATATTATTTGCTGATAAGAAAAAGTGATTATCTATTGTAAAAAATGTTAATTTTATGTTATATAAAAGGAAAAATTAACAAATATAGTAAGTGTTAGCCTCCTTCGTTGAAAATATATATATATAATTTAGTTTTGCTCAATCCCACATCGGTGAGAAGAGCATGTGAGGGTGGTGGATTGACTATAAAAAGAAGCCAAGGTTTAGGTTTCTATACACACCAAAAACGTTTTATATTAGGGATTTAGAGCAAGTCTTTTGGAATCCCTTGGAGTATAAAATATTTGGGGTGTTTTGAGGGTGTCGGGTAGAAAAATATTTTGTAATCGTGGTTGTAACAATTTGCCGCATAGTGAATATTTTTCTTGGTTGTTGTTTGGCAACGGCCGTGGTTTTTTTTCCACTTAGGGAGTTTTCCACATTAAATTATCGTGTTATTTATTTTCTTTAATTTCTCGGTCATTATTTTATTTTCTCATTTGTTCCTGCTTGAAGCCGGTCCGAAGAGCGGGAAAATAGCGATTTTCCCAACAGTAAGTTGAAGAAATTAAATAACACGATTTATTTTCTTTAAAGATGTTTACATTATTTTCTTTTATTTTGTTTTTAAGATATCCAATATCCACAAATTAAGGGAAAAAGGCAAGTAATCTACGACTATATAATTAATTAACGTCTTATAAACCTAATTATTAGTTAATCAAGAAAATATTATTTATCTGCATTTTGCATATATTAATTCTTCATATACATCAAGTCAATAGTTGATTATCATTTTTTTTTTTAAAATGTAACTATTTGTTACTATTTTTTCGTAGTGAAAAGACACATACTTTCATTTGCTTCGATTGTCAATATATATACTCCCAGTATATATATTGACTTCTTATATTTGCAAAGGAGAAATATTGTAGTTTTCTTTTTTTTTTTTTTTTCTCTTTGTTTTTTGTAAAGATTTACTTTGTACTTGAAAAAAAATAAAAAAAAGGGGTAAATTATTTACTTTTTGTATAATAGGTATCTACATCTAATCCCAACATAGAAACATTGTGTAAAACTCTATTCAAATTTGTCTAAGATTGACCAGTTAAATTCAATAAAAATTTTATTTTTTCATTTTCCTTTTTTTTTTTTTTAAATCTTTGGCACAACAACTTTTTAAGTAGTTTTTAATTAAAACACAAACTGCTATTTTTATAGTGTTCAGTAACATAACGTTTGAACTAACTAGTTTTTATAAGTTCATGTAATGTTTTATCAAATGTTAATTCATGTAAAATTTAATTTTTAACTGTTTATGAAGAATTACTCAAATAGCTAACAACTATCGAAATAGCTAATTTTGCCGAACATACCCTCAATTAATAACATGGATAGATTATTACTAACATATTTTGATCCCAGATTTCAGTAACTAAGAATCGACATTTTCATAACAAAATCTTATATTCAAATCCTAAATGAGGCTGCAAAAGTGTATGAAAAAGAAGAGAGTCATCGTCTACTTTGTAGCACAATTTTATAATATTCCATTTGTCCCAAAAAATAAGTCGTTTTTTATTTATTATTTTGTCTCAAAATATAAGTTGTTTTGTATATTTCAAGAAGTAATAAATGATGTTTTTCTAATGTTGTCATTGTTTACACTAAATACTAAACAAGCAACTGTTGATTTTAAGATAAATGATAATTTCATCAAATTACTCTTTAGTTTGTTATAATCTAGGAGAATTTGCTTCCTTAATCTTTGTACAAAAACCTTAAACAACTTATATTTTGGGACAGAGAGAGTAATGAATTGTGCAATAAATAGTGTTTTTTAATTAGAGAAAAACTTATCTCGAACTGTGTTTATGTCCGACTATTAAGTAACAAAAATAAATAAATGAATAAATTTTTATCGTGAAAAAAAAAAATCAACATTCACTCACGTATATAGAGTACTCTTCTTTTTTTTATCAGAAAAATTCATTATATTATATTAATAATTTCAGAAAAGAATTAATATATCCGATTACTAGATTCCTGAACCAATAGATAATTCTCCATTTACATCCAAAACTATCTCAGGCATGTTAAGTGAAAAAAATCTAGTAAAAATGCAACACTTATTCAAAAAGAGTGAAACTAAAACAATATATATAGGCTACAAAATCACATTTAACCACAGAGAGGACATGAACAAAAACCAATTCCTTGAAATAAAATTTCCATGTATCCAATGTCTGAAATTACCCTAGAAGGATGGACAAAAATGGCACTATATATATATATATATATAACGGTCTTATTTTTTAATTTGGTACTAATTATTTTTCTTTTGAGATGAGAGTTAATGGTTATATGAATACTGTATTCAACAATAACTTTTTTTAAGTAGTTTATAGCATTTTAACATTATTTTTTATAATGTTCGATAGCATAACGTTTGAATTAACTTTTAGAGTTTAAAGTAGCATTTTTATAAAAAGTTAACCTATGTAACGTTTAACTTTTACCGTTTTATGAAAAGCTACTCAAACAGCTAATTTTGCCGAACGAGCATGAAATCAATGTTTTGGATCATGAATTTGCACCATCCTTTTTTTTTTTTAGCAATAAATGATTCATATATTTAGTTGAAGTAATTCTTGGAAAAAGATTAATTATTTGTCCTCAAAAAATCCTAGAAGAAGAAGAGGAGGAGGAGGAAGAAGAATAGTACATTTCAGAAATTGAACCAACCAGATAATTTATTCCTCTTTATGCTTATTTATATGTATAGCATCTGAAATAATTGTAAAAGAGGATATGTTAGTTGTTTATATGCTGCCTTTTTGAATAAAAATCTTTGATCAATCACATAATTCAGAAGCAAGAAAAAAAAAATTGCAAGCTTGTGGAGTTAAATAAAAAGAAACTGTAAATTAGAGACAGAATTCAAAAAAATTGCATCCAAATATAAAAAAAAAAATTGCAAGCTTGTTGAAACAATAAATTAATAAAAAAGGGGAAAAATAAAATTAATTATAAATTAAGAAAAATATAAGATAATGATAATTAATTATCTAGTAATTAATTAGGATTAGAGATATGAAAGACGACAAGGACAATAAAAGCAAATGAAACATAAGGACACAAGAGAAGATGGATAAAAGCACAACATTATTAGGATCTCTTCTTTGTGGATTGAGTATTGCATTTAGCTTAGGTCCTTTTCCATGTCTGGTATACTAATAAATACTCATCAACCCTCCACACATATATATTTACTAATTTCAATTTTTTATATTTAATGTTTCTCCCATAATCCAGATTTGCCTTTTTATTTTTATTAAAACATAATATAATGTTATTATTATTATTATTATTATTACGAGAATATATTTTGTCATTTTAACGCATTATATAAATATAATTGATAGAAAGTAATTGATTGAGACTTCTATTTGCTCTATTCTGTTTATTAAAGATCTATCCAAATACTTTTAACTAATTAGTTGTTGAGCGGAAATCAAATATGAGCCGCGTAAATGAGCTAAAAGAAAAATCCATAATTCAATTAAAAAATGAATTATTTTTCCTAATTTTGAAGAATTTTCTTTGAGTGTTTGAAGTTTTTTTTTGCTCATGAAATTAGTTAATGGACATGTGGAAGCATTCAAATACAAGAATTAAAATATGGCATATCATCACATGATGGGTTCTTATTTTAGAAGAGCACATATGCATGTGCATGTGGAATAGCATCTAAGTACAAAATTAGTATTTCGATATAGCTTGCTAAAAATAGTGGGAACATTGCAGCATCTCCACATACCTTTGGAAGATATAAATTGACCCATCAACCAAAATTCCAATTTCATTTAAACAATATATGCTTACGTACTATAGAATATATATTGC